CTCCACATTGTCTCAACACATGGACCATCAATAGTTGCATATAGAGTTTTAATTAGTCAAACGGTCTCAGCGTGACAGACCCCCAAAGTGTGGTCATTTTCATAGAGAGGCGGAAAATCTCATGTTATCCAATGGAGACTGTATGGACACACTCACAGATTGTATGTGCAAACAGGAGCACATTTACAAACTCTGATTTGCACTAAACTTGACTCTGTTGTTCAACTCCTGGGCCTAGGTCACATGACAGTTTGAACAATGACATTTGCCGATTAGCGCCCCCTACAGTCTGAGTAAAGGTTTACATGGGGATACAGGTATTTAGGTTGTATGTTGTTTGATCTCATATTTGACCCACTGAACAAACTCTGCCACAAGTTTTTTTCAGGCATAACCTGTATAATTTTGGTGTTCTTTGGTATAACACAAAACAATTTAAATGCTAGGGGGGCTATTGTACAACATTAATGCCACCATTTGCACATACAAAGTCCGATTTGCACACAATTTGAAATGACTGTTTAACTCTTGGGTTTGAGTAAACTGAAAGTGTGAATCATGAAATATCAGCATTAGCGCCCCCTACAGACTGATACAAGTGTTACATGGGGAAAATGAGGTATATCTTTTGAATAGAGAAACACAATCACTAATCATAGAAAGTAAAATTACACAGTGTCGCTCCCATCAGGGCAGTGGGAAAATGGCGCGTCAGCGCCATCTCGGTGCGTGGTGCGGCGAGGGCCGTTAGATGCCGCTTGCGGCTTTAATTTTATTTACAATTGCAAAGGGCCTTCTTGTCTTTTGTTGTTGGTGTTTTGGGCTATTCTATAAATATCTAAATTTTAACCTTTTTCTGACTGACAGTTTAGTATTTATCACTAAAATTGCATAGACTGCAGTTTGTTTACTTGAAAGTAGCTTCTATATAGAAAACTACTTTTGACAGAATTTTGTAACTTAGCTTGCTGCATTTTTATGGGTGGTAGCTTCTGTAAAGTGAAGCTGAATTTATTGTAGAGTAGCTTAGCTAACTGCATAAATCAAGTAGCTTGCCCATCACTGGTAGTTTATGTAGTCACATGTGAGAGCTAGCTGCTAACAGGGGACTGCGAGCGTGTGATATGGAGAGACCATGAGGATTTGTTTTATTTTTTTTTATACAGAACTGCAGATAAAGTCAACCAGTGATCCTACATGTGTCGTCGTGGTCCTTAATCAGCCAGCGCACCCCTATGTCAGACTGTACATTTCCCTATTTCTGTTTCTAAAGTTCATTGTATGACGTCATAGTTTATATCTGTTCATAGCCACATGAACAGACCCAGGACTGAGGCTGTAGACCCAGGACTGAGGCTGTAGACCCAGGACTGAGGCTGTAGACCCAGGACTGAGGCTGTAGACCCAGGACTGAGGCTGCAGACCCAGGACTGAGGCTGCAGACCCAGGACTGAGGCTGCAGACCCAGGACTGAGGTTGTAGAAGTGGCTCCTATACAGGGTGGGGGGTGTAGCCCATGGGTCAGGAGAAACCAGCATTAATAGCAGAACGCGATGTTTGATGTTGAAAGAGAACTGTCATTTCTCACTTCTACCACCGTCAATGTCAAACATATTATAATTATTTGATGTGTCTTTGTTGTGTTTGTTGCAGATCTACAAAGTCCATCTACAGAATGGGGTTCACCTGTGATCAGTGTGGAAAGACCTGCAGCTCTGCTTCTGATCTAAAGAGACACCACAGAACTCACACTGGAGGAAAACCATACGAGTGTGATCTGTGTGGAACATGTTTTACTACAAAAGAAGGTCTCAAGGTCCACAACAGAATCCACACTGGAGAAAAACCCTTCAGCTGCGACGATTGTGATAAGAGTTTTAGAGATCACAATACTCTCAAAGCTCATCAGAGGATCCACACAGGAGAGAAACCATTTGAGTGTGACCAGTGTGAGAAAACATTTAGGACCAAACGTCAGCTCTCACTACATCAGCATGTCCACACAGGAGAGAGACCTCACCAATGTGACCAGTGTGAAAATACTTTTACATGTTTATCTGACCTCACTGTGCACTACAGAATCCACACTGGAGATAAACCATTCGTCTGTGGAGACTGTGGGAAGACGTTTACTCGGTCTTCACACTACAAAGAACATGAGAGGATCCACACTGGAGAGAAACCCTTCAGCTGCGACGATTGTGGTCAGAGTTTTTCTCGGAGTAGTCATCTCAAAGTGCATCAGAGGATCCACACTGGAGAGAAACCCTTCAGCTGCGACGATTGTGGTCAGAGTTTTTCTCAGAGTGGTGATCTCAAAGTGCATCAGAGGATCCACACTGGAGAGAAACCCTTCAGCTGCGACGATTGTGGTCAGAGTTTTTCTCTGAGTAGTCATCTCAAAGTGCATCAGAGGATCCACACTGGAGAGAAACCCTTCAGCTGCGACGATTGTGGTCAGAGTTTTTCTCGGAGTGGTGATCTCAAAGTGCATCAGAGGATCCACACTGGAGAGAAACCCTTCAGCTGCGACGATTGTGGTCAGAGTTTTTCTCTGAGTAGTCATCTCAAAGTGCATCAGAGGATCCACACTGGAGAGAAACCCTTCAGCTGCGACGATTGTGGTCAGAGTTTTTCTCAGAGTGGTTCTCTCAAAGTGCATCAGAGGATCCACACTGGAGAGAAACCCTTCAGCTGCGACGATTGTGGTCAGAGTTTTTCTCGGAGTGGTTCTCTCAAAGATCATCAGAGGATCCACACTGGAGAGAAGCCCTTCAGCTGCGACGATTGTGGTCAGAGTTTTTCTCGGAGTGGTCATCTCAAAGAGCATCAGAGGATCCACACTGGAGAGAAACTATTTGTCTGTGAAAAGTGCGAAAAGTTTTTTAGTCGAAGTTCATCTCTTACTAAACACATTAAAACCTGTAGAGAAGCAGGTCTGAAGCAGGTCTGAAGCATCTGGACCAAAGTGAAGGAGACAGAGCTGAGGCTGCATCCTGTGAACCCAGAGTCAGACTCTACAGGATCTCACTTCAGTCTTAACTCCTGGTTTGGGGAAAGAATCCATTCTGTTCAGTGTTTCATTTTCATGTTTGACTTTTCTGTTCCTTGTTGTGACTCTATGATGTTGGTTTGTTGTGTCTTTTGTCACAAGCTGGCTCTGGGCCTGTGACAAATTGAGGGACAGGCAGGTGTGGTCGTTCAATATGTTTATTTTAAATAATAAAGACGACAACAAAAGATAATAAAGAATGAGGTGTGAGTATGTGAGCCGTGGAATGTGTTCAGTGTGTGCAGGTCAGTGAATGAAAACCAGTGTATGTGTGTATATGTCTGAGTGTGAAACTAAAGCTAATTTTAACAAATGACAAAACAAAGAATAAAAGTTCCAGTACCTGGAGGGAGCAGAGAGTGTTAGTAAGATACACATTTATGCACAGGTGCCCCAATCACTGGGTCCGCCCTGCCTGAGATAGAACCGCCCGCAGGTCAAAGAGGGAAAGGTGCAGACCCAGGAGGGAGAGGAGCAACATGCTTTATGAATGCAAGGGAAATGTAGGTACCCCAGCTTTAATTTAGTGAGTTGTAGTTTCAGGGCTACAGGAGACACGGGGACACTTCCAGAGGCTCACATAGTTCAGCGCCGGTCACATGGGAATGAGTCCGCTGTGGCACCAGAGCATGTGGAGGACCCCCCCCCCACTATTTGAGAAGCACTGCCCTAAACATTGTGTTTTCAATTGTTACTGTACTGTAGTATCTATTGTGTGTCATGGATCCTCCATAGAGTTACTCATGTTTGCATTGAGTTGTGATATAACTGCATTTTCTACTTTATGTACTGTAACTATTCTCATGAAACGCACAAATCTATAGTAAATGCCCAAAACATTTGTGAATTAAAAAAGTGTTGCTCAAATGCATCCTGGCAGTTGTGAAACTGTAAAAAGAACAGTGTCACATTCTGAAAATTGTGTTTTCAATTGTTTTGGTGATGTGGTTAATGATGCTCATAGTGTTCACATTTTTGCAGACCATGAGAGGTGTTTTGGTGAGATGGGTTGGTTTAGAGAATATGAGTCACTGTTTTGGTGAGATGGGTTGGTTTAGAGAATATGAGTCACTGTTTTGGTGAGATGGGTTGGTTTAGAGAATATGAGTCACTGTTTTGGTGTGATGGGTTGGTTTAGAGAATATGAGTCACTGTTTTGGTGAGATGGGTTGGTTTAGAGAATATGAGTCACTGTTTTGGTGTGATGGGTTGGTTTAGAGAATATGAGTCACTGTTTTGGTGAGATGGGTTGGTTTAGAGAATATGAGTCACTGTTTTGGTGTGATGGGTTGGTTTAGAGAATATGAGTCACTGTTTTGGTGTGATGGGTTGGTTTAGAGAATATGAGTCACTGTTTTGGTGTGATGGGTTGGTTTAGAGAATATGAGTCACTGTTTTGGTGAGATGGGTTGGTTTTGAAAAGAGACTGTATTGTTGTGTGTACGTAGCTTTAGAAAAGAGGTTTGTGTTTAGAGTTTTGAAAAAAGGGAGGGCAGTATCGTGAAATGTGTTTAAGCAATAGAGAAAAACTAAGTTCCTGTGTCCTGATTGTTTTTGCTCTTCCCTCGTCACTGTTTGCTTCAGTTCAAGAACAGATCATAATAAATTACATTTGAGTTGAGTCTTATTTTCCTCCATGTTTGTAAAGTCTTTGAATAATATGAAGGACATGAATCTCAATCAATCACAGAATCAAATCGCAAAACTGTCGAATATTGTAAGAATCTCAATAATATTGAATTGTGACAAATATCACTGTTAAAAGTCCGTCACTACATTTCCCATGATGCACCTGCTAATATTGTAGTTCGTGAGTCGAATCTCAGGTTATGGACCCCACCAGGAGTTGAAAACAAGTGCACACACACACACACCAGAGAGAGAGACCAGATAGAGACCAGACTCTCTCTCTCTCTCTCTCTCTCTCTCCCCGGACCCCAACCCCGTGATGACGGAGACCCCCATCCCCCGCTCGTCCCAGGACATCACCCCCGCGGACAGCGTGATCGAGGCCAGCCACCTGCAGCAGCGACGCAACTCCTACAGAGGTCGGTTCATTCATGTAGTATCCACAAGTACCCTGGTCTGACCACACCACTGTACTGGTCTGACCACACCACTGTACTGGTCTGACCACACCACTGTACTGGTCTGACCACACCACTGTACTGGTCTGACCACACCACTGTACTGGTCTGACCACACTGTACTGGTCTGACCACACCACTGTACTGGTCTGACCACACCACTGTACTGGTCTGACCACACCACTGTACTGGTCTGACCACACCACTGTACTGGTCTCACACACACACACACACAGACATAGAGACACACACACAGAGACACACACACAGACACACACACACACACACACACAGACATAGACACACACACACACACACAGAGACACACAGACATAGAGACACACACACAGAGACACAGACACAGACACACACACACACACACACACACACACAGAGACACACACACACACACACACAGACACTTACTGGGCAAAGGCAAACTTCCTGAAGTAAATTAGATGCAATACTTTTATTTTAAAAGACAGAATTCTTTCCATAACATCACAGACTTCACAGAGGATGGAGCTAAAAACAACCTCAGGTCTGTTTCTGACGATGAGAGAAACTTGTACCAAAGACTTCAACAAACTTATCAGAGCCCGTTTTCCTCTATCGTTGCCTTGGTAACTTCACACACTCTACTTCCTCTATCGTTGCCGTGGTAACTTCAAACACATCTACAGTCTTTGAATCAATAATCAAAACACTGGAGACACTTTATTACAAACACGTTTCCTCCAAATAGCTACAGAGAGAGTTCAGAGCAAAGTCTGCCTCCTGCAGAGAGCGCCCCCCTGTGGAGAACCTCTGAGCAGCTTCAAAGACCCGCTCTCTCACCTGCTCCACACTCTCTGACTCAGACTAAGACTCAGACTAAGGCTCAGGCTCAGACTCAGACTCAGACTCAGACTCAGACTCAGACTCAGGCTCAGGCTCAGGCTCAGGCTCAGGCTCAGGCTCAGGCTCAGGCTCAGACTCAGACTCAGGCTCAGCTCAGGCTCAGGCTCAGACTCAGACTCAGACTCAGGCTCAGGCTCAGACTCAGACTCAGACTCAGACTCAGACTCAGACTCAGGCTCAGGCTCAGGCTCAGACTCAGACTCAGACTCAGGCTCAGGCTCAGGCTCAGACTCAGACTCAGACTCAGACTCAGACTCAGGCTCAGACTCAGACTCAGGCTCAGGCTCAGGCTCAGACTCAGACTCAGACTCAGACTCAGGCTCAGACTCAGGCTCAGGCTCAGACTCAGGCTCAGGCTCAGGTTCAGACTCAGGCTCAGACTCAGGTTCAGGCTCAGACTCAGACTCAGGTTCAGACTCAGGCTCAGACTCAGGCTCAGGCTCAGACTCAGACTCAGACTCAGACTCAGACTCAGACTCAGACTCAGGTTCAGGCTCAGACTCAGACTCAGACTGCCCCCGATGCGAGAGTAGAGAGGACAGAAACCATTGCAGCTCCAGAGACTCGGGAAATGTCCAAAATGTTGCTGAGAAAATACACTTTCATGTTTTTGGAGTCAAATTTACATGAAGATGAAGAGATCCTTTGTGCGTCCCACTGTGAGGAAATGTCAGTGTTGCATCATCAGTTACAAAACACTGGGAATGAATTAAATCTAATCTCAGTCTTTGCACAAGCTGCTTTAGTTTGTTATTGTGGTGGTAATTCCCTCTGCAGCCAGGAGAGGGCGGCATAACACTGTGTCCGTGTGTCTGCTGTTTACAGTCTGCATCAGGGGTCTCCAACCTCCTCCTCCAGAGAACTGCTGTATCAGAACAAAATGATGAATGAGAGAGAAATCCACACACAGGCCTTAAAACTAAATGTTTGATATTGGACAAACAGTTTTAGTCTGTATTCCATTACTTCCATAAGATAAGATCGAGATTATTGATCTCTGATTGAGAAATGTACAGGTCACATTTGGCACAGACAGAATCAGGCAGAAGTGTGAAACGTGTTTAAGGTTAGAAATATAGTCTGTGCAGGATATAAATATGTACGATAAAAATGTGGCAATAAAAGTAGAGTGGCAATAGCAGTGCAGGTTTTATTTTCTTTCAGTCCTAGTGCATTAGTGACTCATTGTACAGTCTGACAGCGGTGGGGTAAGGGCCCTGCTCCTTCTTCCACATGTGTCTTAATTCAGATTTGAGCCATGTCTGATTTCAATGTGCAGGTTTTTTCTGCAGTCTCTCCTCACGCACACACACACATGCACGCACACACGCACACACACACAAAAGCGTTTGCATGACAAATGAGGACCTATGTCTGCACTGTGACATATCAGGACGTGCCTTTCTGAAGGTCCCAGAGACCTGAGGATCACATAGGGGGGAGCAGGGTGTGATCAGTAACACAGCTAGCTGTTGATATTTTGGTTAAAAGAAACTTTTTTCCCGCATGATTTTATTGCCACATATGAGGACTTTGACAGGTCTGAGTGACATATTAGGACCTACAACAAACACATCCGGTCTGAGTGACATATTAGGACCTACAACACACACATCAGGTCTGAGTGACATATAAGGACCTACAACACACACATCAGGTCTTAGTTAGATATTAGGACCTACAACACACACATCAGGTCTGAGTGGCATATAAGGACCTACAACACACACATCAGGTCTTAGTTAGATATTAGGACCTACAACACACACATCAGGTCTTAGTTAGATATTAGGACCTACAACACACACATCAGGTCTGAGTGACATATAAGGACCTACAACACACACATCAGGTCTTAGTTAGATATTAGGACCTACAACACACACATCAGGTCTTAGTTAGATATTAGGACCTACAACACACACATCAGGTCTGAGTGAGATATTAGGACCTACAACACACACATCAGGTCAGAGTGAGATATTAGGACCTCTAACAAACATCAGGTCTGAGTGAGATATTAGGACCTATAACACACACATCAGGTCTGAGTGAGATATTAGGACCTACAACACACACATCAGGTCTGAGTGAGATATTAGGACCTACAACACACACATCAGGTCTGAGTGAGATATTAGGACCTATAACACACACATCAGGTCAGAGTGAGATATTAGGACCTATAACACACACATCAGGTCTGAGTGAGATATCAGGACCTACAACACACACATCAGGTCTGAGTGAGATATCAGGACCTACAACACACACATCAGTTCTGAGTGAGATATTAGGACCTACAACACACACATCAGGTCTGAGTGAGATATTGAGTGAGATATCTGAGTGAGATATGTGAGTGAGATATTAGGACCTACAACACACACATCAGGTCTGAGTGACATATTAGGACCTACAGTATAACAAGCACTTCAGGTCTGAGTGAAATATTTATCAATCGTTACTCCTTTCACGGAGAGTAACTCTGTAGGTGGACAAATACATTATAACTTTAATGTAGAATTATTTATTTTTATACATGTTTGTAATTTTTGACACCTCACTTTTATATTTGTTTTTGATGTTTTAAATTCTAATTTAAACATGATTTTCCAACTGGAGTTAAGACAATTTTTCAGGGAGATAATCTACTGACACAAGGAGAACATGCAAGCTCCACTCCAAAAGGATTTTTTTTTTTTTTTTTTTTTTACAAACACACACTCACTACTCAAGTATCTTTTTAAATTACCATGAGTCAATATTTAGGCTATTCTACCCACCTCTGGGAATGTATTTAAGTTTGTGACAAAATAGGTGACATATGAGGACAAGTGTATGTGTGTTAAAAGTGTGTTAAGGTAGTACCGTGCACAACCAGAGAGGCGGTTCAAACTTTTTGGGACAGAGTGTTTCGGCCCCGACACACATTTTCACTATTTGTAGACATTTTGGGACATGCTTGATTTTTGGTGTGGAGCTTGTTCTGGGCCTCTACAACACTGTAGTATGCATGGAAAAATGGGGACCTGAAAAAAGTCCCCACATTTCCTCAGGTCCTGATATTGAAGGTGTGTTATCATACAAAAGTCCTCATATGTCCACAAAACAAACGCACACACACACACACACACACACACACACACACACACACACACACACACAAAACAGGGCATTGCTATAGCTGTGTAATGTCAATTCTAAATCCTTTGGGAGCTACAGGGAGAGCTAATGCTACTGGTGTCTCCCGAGCTGCAGGAGGCTAATGTGTGTCTTAAATGAACGTCCAAACGTCGTTTGTTTGAGTGTTGCTTCTTCATGCCTCTCATCGTCTGCTTCACTCACTCTCCTTAAACTATTGAATAAAAAGTCCTTTTCCAAAACATTTAAAATCGGCTGAATTTGAATTAAAGCTGAGCCTGCGTTTTAGGGCTCGAGTCTGAGGACGGCATGTCGACTCTGGGAGGCCGCAGCGGGATGAGGCCTAAAATGATGATGCCGTTTGATGCCCAGCCGCCTCAGCGTAAGTGTGTGTGGGAGGGAGGGGGAGAGAGGGGGAGGGGGGGGAGACCAGGGCAGCTCCTGTGCAGAGGGTGAGGAGTGGGACGAGGGTCTTATACGAGAGGAAAGTGTCATCTGTGGACATCCCATGCTTGTGCATCTCCTCTCTTCCTCTCTCTCTCCTCCCTCTCCTCTGTCTCCCCCCTCCCTCTCCTCTCTTTCCCCTCTCTCCTCCTTCTCTTCTCTCTCTCTCCTCTCTCCTCTCTCTCCTCCCTCTCCTCTCTCTCTCCTCTCCTCTCTCTCTCTCTCTCTCCTCTCTCTACTCTCTCTCCCCTCTCTCCTCCCTCTCCTCTCTCCCCTCTCTTCTCTCTCTCCTCTCTCTCCTCTCTCTCCCCTCTCTCCTCCCTCTCCTCTCTCTCTCATTGCGTGTCATTGTGTCTCATTGTGTGTCATTGTGTCATTGTGTGTCATTGTGTGTCATTGTGTGTCATTGCTTCATGTGTCGTACGCAGCGGTCATCTCAGCTCACCCCATCCACTCCCTGGACTCGCTCCAGCCTCAGCACTACCACAGCCTGGCCTCGCCCACGCGCACCTACCTGTACCACCCCCAGGCCAGTGGAGGGCGCTACCACCCCTGTGCCTCCCCCATCGCTCACCTGTCCCGGGGCGAGTCTATAGGTGAGGCCTTCCATCTCACTCACTGTTTAAAGCCGGATTTGGATACAAAAAGATTTCACTGCAGATAACTACAGTTGAGGTGGGAGAGTCTGTCCATAGGACAACAATCAGTCGTGCACTGCACAAATCTGGCCTTTATGGAAGAGTGGCCATTTCTCAAAGATATCCATAAAAAGTCTCTTAAAGTTTGCCACAAGCCACCTGGGAGACACACCAAACATGTGGAAGAAGGTGCTCTGGTCAGATGAAACCAAAATCAAACTTTTTGGCCACAATAAAAAACGATATGTTTGGCGTAAAAGCAACACAGCTCATCACCCTGAACACACCATCCCCACCTCAGCTGTAGTTATCTGCAGTTCATCCAGAGTGATCATGGGCCTCTTGGCTGCATCTCTGATCAGTCTTCTCCTTGTTTGAGATGAAAGTTTGGAGGGACGGCCAGGTCTTGGTAGATTTGCAGTGGTCTGATACTCCTTCCATTTCAATATAATTGCTTGCACAGTGCTCCTTGAGATGTTTAAAGCTTGGGAAATCTTTTTGTATCCAAATCCGGCTTTAAACTTCTCCACAACAGTATCTCGGACCTGCCTGGTGTGTTCCTTTGTCTTCATGGTTCTCTCTGTGCTTTAAACAGAACCCTGAGACTATCAAAGAGCAGGTGCATTTATACGGAGACTTGATTACACACAGGTGCATTCTATTTATCATCATCAGTCATTTAGGACAACATTGGATCATTCAAAGATCCTCACTGAACTTCTGGACTGAGTTTGCTGCACTGAAAGTAAAGGGGCCGAATAATATTGCACGCCCCACTTTTCAGTTTTTTATTTGTTAAAAAAGTTTAAATTATCCAATAACTTTCGTTCCACTTCACGATTGTGTCCCACTTGTTGTTGATTCATGACAAAAAAATAAAATTTTATATCTTTATGTTTGAAGCCTGAAATGTGGTGAAATGTTGAAAGGTTCAAGGGGGCCGAATACTTTCGCAAGGCACTGTATAGTGCCACATGGTTCTCGTCTCTCTTCCTTCCTTAGTGTGGTGGCATCTATAGTGCCACATGGTTCTCGTCTCTCTTCCTTCCTTAGTGTGGTGGCATCTATAGTGCCACATGGTTCTCGTCTCCCTTCCTTCCTTATTGTGGTGGCATCTATAGTGCCACATGGTTCTCGTCTCTCTTCCTTAGTGTCGTAGCATCTATAGTGCCACATGGTTCTTGTCTCCCTTCCTTCCTTAGTGTCGTGGCATCTATAGTGCCACATGGTTCTCGTCTCCCTTCCTTAGTGTCGTAGCATCTATAGTGCCACATGGTTCTTGTCTCCCTTCCTTCCTTAGTGTCGTGGCATCTATAGTGCCACATGGTTCTCGTCTCCCTTCCTTAGTGTGGTGGCATCTATAGTGCCACATGGTTCTCGTCTCTCTTCCTTCCTTAGTGTGGTGGCATCTATAGTGCCACATGGTTCTCGTCTCCCTTCCTTCCTTAGTGTGGTGGCATCTATAGTGCCACATGGTTCTCGTCTCCCTTCCCCCCTCCTTCTTGCACACCTGGTTCCATAGTAGTGTTGTGGCATCTATAACGTGACCCTCTTGTCTCCCTCAGAGTCGGTGAGGAACACGCCGTGCTCGGACGCCCCTCCCCCGGCCTCCTCGCAGCTCTCCTCGCAGCTCTCCTCGCAGCTCTCCTCGCAGCTCTCCTCGCAGCTCTCCTGTCCCTCGGAGATCACGGTGGACCCGGAGGGGAGCTACCACGGCAGCACCACGGAGGAGGAGGGCAGCTATAGCGGCAGCCTGGCCCCTCTGCGCCCGGTGCACGCACACGCACACCCGCTGAAGAGCTTCGCAGTCCCCGCCATCCCCCCGGGAGCCCACCCCTCCTACGAGAACCCCGCCCTGCCCTGCACGCCCCTGCTCACACAGAGCGGTACGAGACCGAGACAGAGACCGAGACTTAGACTCACTGGGGTCTCATGAAGAAGGAGACTAGGGGAAGATAGACACATGTAAAGTTATGGTCCTGAGTTAGCCCACAATAGATCCAGGACTGAGGCTGTAGACCCAGGACTGAGACTGTAGACCCAGGACTGAGGCTGTAGACCCAGGACTGAGGCTGTAGACCCAGGACTGAGGCTGTATAGACCCAGGACTGAGGCTGTAGACCCAGGACTGAGACTGTAGACCCAGGACTGAGACTGTAGACCCAGGACTGAGACTGTAGACCCAGGACTGAGACTGTAGACCCAGGACTGAGACTGTATAGACCCAGGACTGAGGCTGTAGACCCAGGACTGAGACTGTAGACCCAGGACTGAGACTGTATAGACCCAGGACTGAGACTGTATAGACCCAGGACTGAGACTGTATAGACCCAGGACTGAGACTTTATAGACCCAGGACTCAGACTGTAGACCCAGGACTGAGGCTGTAGACCCAGGACTGAGACTGTATAGACCCAGGACTGAGACTGTAGACCCAGGACTGAGGCTGTAGACCCAGGACTGAGGCTGTAGACCCAGGACACACACTTAAAAACTTGACTTAAAATGACTTTAATGAAAGTGCACCTTTTCGTTTACACTTCTCCTGACGGCCTCCCCCTGCCCCCCCAGGCGCTCCCAGCCACCCCCACGTGGTGAAGACGGCCTCCATCGGGACCCTGGGCCGGACGCGGACCCCGATGATCGTGACGGTGCCCAACGCCCCGGACGTCCCGGAGACCAGCCGGATGTTGGAGGACGTGGACAGTGTGAGTCTCGGACACGTCTTTCTGAACATCGACGTGCTCCTCTGACCTCACGCTCACAGGAACCGTCCGGACGCCGCCGTTAACTCTGTCTCTCTGTTTCTCCTCTTTTCCGTCTGCTTCTGTCGCTTCTGTCGGCGCATGTTTGTCTTTTAATCAATAACTTTTCAAAAACACCTGGAATGATTTTGTTGCTTTTTTGTTTCGTTTATTTGGAATGCTTTTCTGGATGTTTTTCCGGCTGCTTTTTTCTTTTGGCTTCAGTTTCTTTGACCCATTCTCATTTCATTCATACAGTAAGGGGCTGTTCCTGCTGCAAAGACGTGGACTTTCAATGGGAAGCGTTTTATTTCTAGGGTGACAAGGGCAGTGCTAGCAAACGAGCTAAATGTATGAGCTAGAATGAGGTTATAAAACACATAAGTCGGGGCTAAGTCGGGGCTAAGTCGGGACTAAGTCGGGACTAAGTCGGGACTAAGTCGGGGCTAAGTCGGGGCTCAGTCGGGGCTAAGTCGGGACTAAGTCGGGGGCTCAGTCGGGGCTAAGTCGGGACTAAGTCGGGACTAAGTCGGGGCTAAGTCGGGGCTAAGTCGGGACTAAGTCGGGGCTAAGTCGGGGCTAAGTCGGGACTAAGTCGGGGCTAAGTCGGGGCTAAGTCGGGGCTAAGTCGGGGCTAAGTCGGGGCTAAGTCGGGGCTAAGTCGGGGCTAAGTCGGGACTAAGTCGGGACTAAGTCGGGACTAAGTCGGGGCTAAGTCGGGACTAAGTCGGGGCTAAGTCGGGGCTAAGTCGGGACTAAGTCGGGGCTAAGTCGGGGCTAAGTCGGGACTAAGTCGGGGCTAAGTCGGGGCTAAGTCGGGGCTAAGTCGGGGCTAAGTCGGGGCTAAGTCGGGGCTAAGTCGGGGCTAAGTCGGGACTAAGTCGGGACTAAGTCGGGACTAAGTCGGGGCTAAGTCGGGACTAAGTCGGGACTAAGTCGGGACTAAGTCGGGGCCAAGTCGGGGCCAAGTCGGGGCCAAGTCGGGGCTAAGTCGGGGCTAAGTCGGGGCTAAGTCGGGGCTAAGTCGGGGCTAAGTCGGCACTAAGTCGGCGCTAAGTCGGGACTAAGTCGGGACTAAGTCGGGACTAAGTCGGGCCTAAGTCGGGCCTAAGTCGGGCCTAAGTCGGGCCTAAGTCGGGGCTAAGTCGGGGCTAAGTCGGGGCTAAGTCGGGGCTAAGTCGGGACTAAGTCGGGGCTAAGTCGGGGCTGAGTCGGGGCTGAGGCGGGGCTGAGGCGGGGCTGAGTCGGGGCTAAGGCGGGGCTAAGTCGGGACTAAGGCGGGGCTAAGTCGGGACTAAGTCGGGGCTAAGTCGGGGCTAAGGCGGGGCTAAGGCGGGACTAAGGCGGGACTAAGGCGGGCCTAAGTCGGGCCTAAGTCGGGGCTAAGTCGGGGCTAAGTCGGGGCTAAATCGGGGCTAAATCGGGGCTGAGTCGGGACTGAGTCGGGGCTGAGTCGGGGCTAAGTCGGGGCTAAGTCGGGGCCAAGTCGGGACTAAGTCGGACTAAGTCGGGGCTAAGTCGGGGCTAAGTCGGGACTAAGTCGGGACTAAGTCGGGGCAAAGTCGGGGCCGAGTCGGGGCCGAGTCGGGGCCGAGTCGGGGCCGAGTCGGGGCCGAGTCGGGGCCGAGTCGGGGCCGAGTCGGGGCCGAGTCGGGGCCGAGTCGGGGCCAAGTCGGGACCAAGTCGGGGCTAAGTCGGGGCTAAGTCGGGGCTAAGTCGGGGCTAAGTCGGGGCTAAGTCGGGGCTAAGTCGGGGCTAAGTCGGGACTAAGTCGGGACTAAGTCGGGACTAAGTCGGGGCTAAGTCGGGACTAAGTCGGGACTAAGTCGGGACTAAGTCGGGGCCAAGTCGGGGCCAAGTCGGGGCCAAGTCGGGGCTAAGTCGGGGCTAAGTCGGGGCTAAGTCGGGGCTAAGTCGGGGCTAAGTCGGCACTAAGTCGGCGCTAAGTCGGGACTAAGTCGGGACTAAGTCGGGACTAAGTCGGGCCTAAGTCGGGCCTAAGTCGGGCCTAAGTCGGGCCTAAGTCGGGCCTAAGTCGGGGCTAAGTCGGGGCTAAGTCGGGGCTAAGTCGGGGCTAAGTCGGGACTAAGTCGGGGCTAAGTCGGGGCTGAGTCGGGGCTGAGGCGGGGCTGAGGCGGGGCTGAGTCGGGGCTAAGGCGGGGCTAAGTCGGGACTAAGGCGGGGCTAAGTCGGGACTAAGTCGGGGCTAAGTCGGGGCTAAGGCGGGGCTAAGGCGGGACTAAGGCGGGACTAAGGCGGGCCTAAGTCGGGCCTAAGTCGGGGCTAAGTCGGGGCTAAGTCGGGGCTAAATCGGGGCTAAATCGGGGCTGAGTCGGGACTGAGTCGGGGCTGAGTCGGGGCTAAGTCGGGGCTAAGTCGGGGCCAAGTCGGGACTAAGTCGGACTAAGTCGGGGCTAAGTCGGGGCTAAGTCGGGACTAAGTCGGGACTAAGTCGGGGCAAAGTCGGGGCCGAGTCGGGGCCGAGTCGGGGCCGAGTCGGGGCCAAGTCGGGACCAAGTCGGGACCAAGTCGGGCCTAAGTCGGGGCTAAGTCGGGGCTAAGTCGGGGCTAAGTCGGGACTAAGTCGGGACTAAGTCGGGACTAAGTCGGGGCTAAGGCGGGGCTAAGGCGGGGCTAAGGCGGGGCTAAGGCGGGACTGAGGCGGGCCTGAGTCGGGGCTAAGTCGGGACTAAGTCGGGACTAAGTCGGGCCTAAGTCGGGGCTAAGTCGGGACTAAGTCGGGACTAAGTCGGGACTAAGTCGGGACTAAGTCGGGACTAAGTCGGGGCTAAGTCGGGACTAAGGCGGGGCTAAGGCGGGGCTAAGGCGGGGCTAAGGCGGGGCTAAGTCGGGGCTAAGTCGGGGCTAAGTCGGGACTGAGGCGGGCCTGAGTCGGGGCTAAGTCGGGACTAAGTCGGGACTAAGTCGGGACTAAGTCGGGACTAAGTCGGGACTAAGTCGGGGCGGAGTCACAGGAGGTCACAGGAGGTCACAGGAGGTCACAGGAGGTCACAGGAGGTCACAGGAGGTCACAGGAGGTCACAGGAGGTCACAGGAGGTCACAGGAGGTCACAAACTAGGAATCTCTTTGGCTCCAGGTGCAGAGAAGTCGTTAGAGTAAAAAGGTAAAGGCAGCATAAAGAGGCGTCGATAAACCAGATTATTAACGCCATAATCCAGCCTCAGGTCTACCCCAGACTTACCCCAGGTCCAGGTATCACAGGTACAGGACATCAGCTGCAGTCTTTGCCTCAGCATCAGCCCCTCCCCCTGCCCTCCTAACCTGACTGACCTGGGCTTGCTCTCCCCCCTCTCCCCCTCTCCCCCCTCTTCCCCCCTGGCTCTCCTGCAGGTCCTGGCCTCCCTGACGCCCTCCTCCGCCTCGCGCAGTAACGCCCCCCCTCCTGTGCCTCTCCCGCAGAGCTACGAACCCGACGAGCTGACGGAGGAGATGGCCCACCTGGAGGGCCTCATGAAAGACCTGAACGCAATCACCACCGCGCCCTAGGGACCCCGCCCCACCCCACCCCAACTCAGCACCCTAAGGACCCTACCCCGCCCCGCCACAACACCCTAAGGACCCCACCCCGCCCTCGCCACAGCACCCTAAGGACCCCACCCCGCCCTCGCCACAGCACCCAAAGGACCCCACCCTGCTCCACACAGCACCCTGAGGACCTCACCCGCCCGCCCTAAGGACCCCACCCCACCCCAACTCAGCACCCTAAGGACCCCACCCCGCCCTCGCCACAGCACCCTAGGGACAACTGATTGTTCCGGCTGTTTTACACTTTCACCAGATTAGAAACACAAGATCTGCTACTAGCTTCTCAACCTGCCCTGGTCCTGTCTCCCCTGGTCCTGTCTCCCCTGGTCCTTGCTCCCCTAGCCCTGGGTCCCCTGGTCTCTCCCCTGATCCTGGGTTCCCTGGTCTCTACCCTTGTCCTAGCTCCACTGGTCCTGGTCTCTCCCCTGGTCTCTCCCCTGGTCCTGTCTCCCCTGGTCTCTCCCCTGGTCTCTCCCCTGGTCTCTCACCTGGTCTCTCACCTGGTCTCTCACCTGGTCTCTCCCCTGGTCTCTCCCCTGGTCTCTCACCTGGTCTCTCACCTGGTCTCTCACCTGGTCTCTCCCCTGGTCTCTCCCCTGGTCTATACCATTCAATCCAAACGGGGGGAAAACAAAAACATGCAACTGTGATTTCCGTGGACACAAAATGGCGTCTTGTGCCCAAGAAGCATTCACGTCCCCCAGCAACAAACTGCTTTCTTCTTCTGGGCGGCACGGTATTTTTATGGGACTAAAAAAATACCAGAACAGCGCCCCCTACAAAAGTCAGTTTACATTGCGCCTATGGGAGGGGGTCGGAGGTCAAGTTTGTCGTAGAGCCACGAAACTCGGTACACATGTTCCTCAGGTCAAGACATGAAAAAAAAGTTATTATGGCTCCGCCCCCTGACAAACAGGAAGCTCATTAATTTAATTGGAAAATGGAAAAATGAAAATTGATATTTTTCACACATGTCGGCTGGAAATTATCTCCTCCTCGGCCGTTTCACCGATTTGTCTCAAAATCGCTCCACATGGTCTAAACCCATGTCCCATTTATTATTGAATATAGAATTCCGATCAGTTAAACGTTGTCCGAGCAGCGGAGCGGCAAAATGTGACATTTTTTTGGGGATTTTTGACAAAAGTAAATTTGCTCCCGTTTGCCACAAACAAAGCCGGATTTGCACCAAATTTTAATGCATTGTTCAGCTCCAGGGTCTAGGTCATCTGAAAGTGTAAATATTGAAATTGGCTCATGAGCGCCCCCTACAGACTATGTCAAAGTTTTACATGGGCCTGAAAAAATTTAGTTTTTTCAAATTGTTGGAAATTTTGCACATAATTCTGTTTTGTCATCTGGATTAAAAAAGTCAATGACAACATATGATTTTTTTTTACCCTGTTGCCGTGGCAACGACAAACACTCCCCTGTCTGTGTCTATGAGAAAATCGTTAAATCTCTTAAAAGTACACCTCGCTCAAACATCGGACCAGCCGCGGCCGTTTCACTAATTATTCTGAAAATCGCTCCACATCGTCTCAACACATGGACCATCAATAGTTGCATATAGAATTTTAATTAGTCAAACGGTCTGAGCGTGACAGACCCCCAAAGTGTGGTCATTTTCATAGAGAGGTGTGAAGTTCTCATGTTATCCAATGGAGACTGTATGGACACACTCACAGATTGTATGTGTAAACAGGAGCACATTTACAAACTCTGATTTGCACTAAACTTGACTCGGTTGTTCAACTCCTGGGCCTAGGTCACATGACAGTGTGAACAATGACATTGGCCCATTATCGCCCCCTAGAGGCTGAGTAAAGGTTTACATGGGGATACATGTATTTAGGTTTTCTGTTGTTTGATCTCATATTTGCCCCACATAACAAACACAAAAACTCACCAAACTTTGCCACAAGTTTTTTTCAGGCATAAAGTGTATTATTTTGGTGTTCTTTGGTATAAGACTAAACAATTGAAATTGTAGGGGGCGCTGTTTTACAACATAAATGCCTTCCGTTTGCACATACAAAGTCCAATTTGCACACAATTTGAATTGACTGTTTAACTCTTGGGTTTGAGTAAGCTGAAAGTGTGAATCATGAAATATCAGCATTAGCGCCCCCTACAGACTGATACAAGTGTTACATGGGGAAAATGAGGTATATCTTTTGAATAGAGAAACACAATCACTAATCATAGGTTCAAAACACACAGTGTCGCTCCCATCAGGGCAGTGGGAAAGTGGCGCGTCAGCGCCACCTCCTTTGCGCGGTGCGGCGAGGGCCGTTAGATGCCGCTTGCGGCTTTAATTCCAATTGCTTTCAATAAGTTTAGACCACTAGTCCGTTTTACGGACGCCCGACGGACAGCAGCCAACGCGCGTCAACGGAGACGCGCCCGGTGGAGTCCAGACCTCACCGTGGCCATACCTCCAAAAGCACGTCACTTTAGTGGAGACGAGCGAACAGAAATGTTTTCAGATCCTACTCTGTAATCCCAGAGAAAGCTCCTCTGACTGATAATAAGGCTGTAGGATGTTACCATTGTTTTCATAAACTGGTCAGACATAGTTCTAGCACAGTTCATTTGTAAACTTATGTGTTTTCTTTTCAGTTTCAGAGGGTATTCTTGCTTAAATAGAGCCATTAATTGGCTCGGATTCACATTTGTTTCGTGTTTATTGGGCTATTGTTATAAACAACAGTTAAAAAACATTTCTAATGAAGTACATGTTAATTTGTAATGGCTTATTGCTATAATTTCTCAATTTATTTTATTTACAATTTCAAAGGGCCTTCTTGTCTTTTGTTGTTGGTGTTTTGGGCTATTCTATAAATATCTAAATTTTAACCTTTTTCTGACTGACAGTTTAGTATTTATCACTAAAATTGCATAGACTGCAGTTTGTTTACTTGAAAGTAGCTTCTATATAGCAAACTACTTTTGACAGAATTTTGTAACTTAGCTTGCTGCATTTTTATGGGTGGTAGCTTCTGTAAAGTGAAGCTGAATTTATTGTAGAGTAGCTTAGCTAACTGCATAAATCAAGTAGCTTGCCCATCACTGGTAGTTTATGTAGTCACATGTGAGAGCTAGCTGCTAACAGGGGACTGCGAGCGTGTGATATGGAGAGACCATGAGGATTTGTGTTTTCTTTTCTTTTATACAGAACTGCAGATAAAGTCAACCAGTGATCCTACATGTGTCGTCGTGGTCCTTAATCAGCCAGCGCACCCCTATGTCAGACTGTACATTTCCCTATTTCTGTTTCTAAAGTTCATTGTATGACGTCATAGTTTATATCTGTTCATAGCCACATGAACAGACCCAGGACTGAGGCTGTACACCCAGGACTGAGGCTGTAGACCCAGGACTGAGGCTGTAGACCCAGGACTGAGGCTGCAGACCCAGGACTGAGGCTGCAGACCCAGGACTGAGGCTGTAGACCCAGGACTGAGGCTGTAGACCCAGGACTGAGGCTGCAGACCCAGGACTGAGGCTGTAGACCCAGGACTGAGGCTGTAGACCCAGGACTGAGGCTGTAGACCCAGGACTGAGGCTGCAGACCCAGGACTGAGGCTGTAGACCCAGGACTGAGGTTGTAGACCCAGGACTGAGGCTGTAGACCCAGGACTGAGGCTGTAGACCCAGGACTGAGGTTGTAGACCCAGGACTGAGGCTGTAGACCCAGGACTGAGGCTGTAGACCCAGGACTGAGGCTGTAGACCCAGGACTGAGGCTGTAGACCCAGGACTGAGGCTGTAGACCCAGGACTGAGGCTGTAGACCCAGGACTGAGGCTGCAGACCCAGGACTGAGGCTGAAGACCCAGGACTGAGGCTGTAGACCCAGGACTGAGGCTGTAGACCCAGGACTGAGGCTGTAGAAGTGGCTCCTATACAGGGTGGGGGGTGTAGCCCATGGGTCGGGAGCAACCAGCTTTAATTGCAGAACCCGATGTTTGATGTTGAAAGAGAACAATATCATTTCTCACTTCTACCACCATCAAACATATTAGAATTATCTGACGTTGTTGTGTTTGTTGCAGATCTACAAAGTCCATCTACAGAATGGGGTTCACCTGTGATCAGTGTGGAAAGACCTGCAGCTCTGCTTCTGATCTAAAGAGACACCACAGAACTCACACTGGAGGAAAACCATACGAGTGTGATCTGTGTGGAACATGTTTTACTACAAAAAGAGCTCTCAAGCGCCACAACAGAATCCACACTGGAGAAAAACCCTTCAGCTGCGACGATTGTGATCAGAGTTTTAGACATCAGCATACTCTCAAAGATCATCAGAGGATCCACACAGGAGAGAAACCATTTGAGTGTGACCAGTGTGAAAAAACATTTAGGACCAAACAGCTGCTCTCACGACATCAGCATGTCCACACAGGAGAGAAACCTCACCAATGTGACCAGTGTGAAAAGACTTTTACATGTTTATCTGCCCTCACTGTGCACTACAGAATCCACACTGGAGATAAACCATTCGTCTGTGGAGACTGTGGGAAGACGTTTACTCGGTCTTCACACTACAAAGCACATGAGAGAATCCACACTGGAGAAAAGCCCTTCAGCTGCGACGATTGTGGTCAGAGTTTTTCTCGGAGTGGTTCTCTCAAAGTGCATCAGAGGATCCACACTGGAGAGAAACCATTTGTCTGTGAAAAGTGCGAAAAGTCTTTTACTCGAAGTTCATCTCTTACTAAACACATTAAAACCTGTAGAGAAGCAGGTCTGAAGCAGGTCTGAAGCAGGTCTGAAGCATCTGGACCAAAGTGAAGGAGACAGAGCTGAGGCTGCATCCTGTGAACCCAGAGTCAGACTCTACAGGATCTCACTTCAGTCTTAACTCCTGGTTTGGGGAAAGAATCCATTTTGTTCAGTGTTTCATTTTCATGTTTGACTTTTCTGTTCCTTGTTGTGACTCTATGATGTTGGTTTGTTGTGTCTTTTGTCACAAGCTGGGGTGGCCAACCCGCGACTCGTGAGCCGCATGCGGCTCTTTGGCTGGTTCCGTACGGCTCTCGGGCTTTCACAAGACAAGCGTCAAAAACGCGTCGGTGGTGGCGCTGCCATTCATTCTCTATGTAGTTCTGACCCATAGTAAAGGCCGACTTCACTCCACTAGCCGGGCCGCCAAAACAATCTGACGTCGGCGAACGTCGATTCTGATTGGTCAGTCACTCTGCAGCTGCTGCCTCAGCTGTTGCAAATATCATAACAAACAACACGTTGCCTCGACCCATGACGTCCGTATGGAAAACAGTTCCTTGGTCGCTGGATGAGGGCAACACATTCCTCAGTTTGAGGAGAGGACACCAGCGTGAGCTCGATGGTTCCACCACAAACCAGAAGGTGTTTGTGGAGGTAGCACTAAGGACGGAGCAGAATGATTCCCACGAACATCACAATGCAGAGAAAAGTTAAAAAGCTTAAAAGTGACAACCGTGAAATGAAAGATCACAGCAGCAGAAGTAGAGGCAGACCCGAAAAGTCTGCAGGTGGTTTGACCAAATGGATTACATTTACGGACATCGGCTAACACCGGCTAACATGCTAAAACCAGCTAACATGCTAAAACCAGCTAACACCAGCCACACCAGGAGATAAGCCTCAACTCTGCCTGGTGTCTGTCTTCAATCAAATGCAAAAGTATCTGGTCTTATACTGAACATGTGTCTGTGGTTCTAAATCAGCTAACGTGGTGTTGGTGTTATGTGTCAAATCTATATCTTTTACTAAATGCAGTCAGAGTGAATCATAGTTCGATAAAGACAGTTGTGTTTCTGCTGAACACTGGGTTGAAACTTGATTTGTTTTCTTGGTTAGAGATTGAAAGCATTCATTTCGGAATCATAATTGATGTTCGCTGACGTGAGATTGTTCTGGTATCGACTCGCCCGGTTAGAACCAGGGCCAAACCATTGATAAAAAGTACCGGGGAGCGGCTGAAGCGAGCGGTGGAAGCGCCCGCAAACCAGGGAGTGTCGAGTCCAGCCCTTTAGTACTGTACGAGTCCATTTCTGTCATTATCATGTTGATGACATTTACAATACATCTGTCTGAGCAGAGCACACCTCTCTCTGCTCAGACAGATTGCATGTGTGTGTGTGTGTCTGTGAGCGTGTCTGCGCATGTGCGTGCGCGTGTGCGTGCGTGTGTAAGGGTTGGGGTGATGTTTATGTAGTGCACATTTGTATGATGTGGCTCTTGCTGTAACACAGTAAAAAAAATGGCTCTTAGTCTCTGACTGGTTGGCCACCCCTGCTCTACAGGATCTCACTTCAGTCTTAACTCCTGGTTTGGGGAAAGAATCCATTCTGTTCAGTGTTTCATTTTCATGTTTGACTTTTCTGTTCCTTGTTGTGACTCTATGATGACTTCTCTTCATGACAGAGACAGACCCTCTGCTGCTGCTGCTCCTCGTCTCCTGATTGGTTGAAGCTTGCGTCAAAGCTTCAAAAGCTCAGCTTCGGCGTCAAAGGGATTGTTTTGATACGCGAGCGTTACGAGCGTCAAAAGCTTCAAGTGAGCGCGTATTACACGCGACCTTTGAAGCTTTTGACGCGCGCCAAGTGACGCCGGGCCCCTCGGCTTCACCGGACGCGCTTCACCATTCACTTTCAATGCAAACCTGATGCTTTTGACGCCGAAGTTAAGTCCGGTGTGAACGCCCCTTTACAGTGAAGGTAATGTGGACTGCAGGAGCTTGAGTGGAAAGTAAGGGAAAAGAGACTTATTGCAGAAGTCGTGTGTATTTTTATTTGTAAATATCCTTTTCGCCTGAAGACTTTTCACTGTGTTCTTTAAAAACGTTTATATTAATTTCCCACTGTTTTTTGTACTCCATCCATTTTCTACCCTTTAATCCATTTCTGGGTCAGGGGGGGTGGCAGTCAGAGATGCCACCCAAGTCTCATTGCACCAGCCCCTCACTGACCCTCTGCAGGTGGTGAGTCCACAGGAGGACGGCTGCTCTCTGACTGTGAGCATAGCCTTGATCTTTCAGTGGGGGCTTTGGGCAAAGTGGGGTTAAGTGTCTTGCCCAAGGACACAACGATAGCAGTCATCAGTGGGAGTTGGTGGAGAAGGTGCATAGGTGGGAATTGAACCCACGACCTTCTGGCCTTAAGGCCAATGCTCTACCAACTGAGCTACTGTCGTTTTTTGTACTGAGAGTTTTTAATTAAAAACTTCTGAAAATGCCCTTTCCGACCCAGCCATGTGTTCTGTAAAAAAAACCTCAGACCTGAGCAGAGTCTGATCAATGTTCGGTCATCACTGTGTGTGACAGATAAGTTTCCACAGAACAAAGTTAGAATATGGTTGAAAAGCTTCTTGTTTAAAAGGTGAATAAGCTCAGAGTTCTTTAGGGCTGTATTTATGGATGTTTTCTAACCGGCAAACAGGTCGCCCTCGTCGTCAGAGTGAACCCCGTTAGTGTTGACTGGGCCGAGGGGTCTGCTTCACTGAACAGGTCCAGAGGCTCAGACAGAGGCTGGGACTGGGTCTGAGGCTCAGAGAATCCAGCGCTGACTCCAACAGACCCGCTCTGAAAGAAAACAGCACGTCTCAGATCTCATGTCACACTGAGCAAAAGCACGAGACTCTAATTCACCGCAGTCAGAATGTATTTCCTGTGCCGTGGAGCGCAGCAGATAAAGACTGACGAGCAGATAACAAACTGCCCACAAAGTACCAAGAATCAGTTGGAAACGAGCTCATCATGACCCAATAGAGCAACTTTTAGGCTCATAAGATCAAACTTTATTGATCTCTTGATTGATGGAGGAATGTTCAATGCTGACATACGTCTTGATTCAAATAAATAACTGAAGAGATCATGTAATATTTCCATTTTAAATGACATCTACCTCGTTCACATTTTTTGCCAGATAACTCGTTTTCAATGTAGAAGAAAACAATGTATAGCCAGAATTAAGCCCATAACCACAAAGTTCTTTATAATATCATTCGCTGCTAAAGCTTATTAAAAAGAATGAAAAGGTTGGGTACCACAGCTCACTGGGTGGAGCGACATCAGCAACAGAAAACACCAAACCCCAACAGACTCTGGACGATCTGCTTCAGACCAGATAATAAACCTCTGTCGCTGTGGCCGATGTACTATTATACATTAGTACATATTATATTCAAATATTTCCCTCTGTTTCAAATTAAACTGACTTGACAAAAGGTCAATAATGTTTGGATTATAAAATGCTCTCATACATACGTTCTTTGTTATTGTGCCAACATTTCATAAGAGTTCTTTAAACTTAACGGATAGGCGGCTGAGTGGTTAGCTTTTGTGCTTGGGTTCGAATCCCGGTCGAAACAGGGCCTTTCTGCCGTGATATATCAAAACAAGGTTCTCTTATCTGACATCAACAAAACAAAATATACAAATATATAACAGGTGACTACAGATGAAAAATAGCCGCTTGGCTAATTCTGGCATATTTACAGAAATGTTCATTAATATGCACTGGGCCAGTAATAAATAAATAAACTTAGGCCAAGTAGCAGCGCCTGATGGGATTTTAAGAATGTGGTCATTTAGATAAATTAGCAGCGATACATTTCTGAATAGTCTTTGCAAACAAACACACACGATTACTATGTTATTGCTTTTAGAGTGTCTATAAATAGATTTAACATAAGATAATGTGATATAGACCCTTGGGAGGGACACATTACAGGTTTAAGGGGGATTTCTACTTCCGGGTGGATCATCAAGACTATTGGTCCTCACTTCAATCATTCTGGTGATACCTGGGAAATCCTCCAAAATACTTTTTAATGTTATAACAAAAAAACATTGAATAGGATAGAGTTAGCACTAGCTGCCGGAGCCGCTGCAGCTAACACAGACTCTCTTTGACACAGACGCCGCGGGAAGAGCTGCAGACGTACGGTGTTGACGAAGATGTCCTCTCCCTCCTCCTGGTCCCCGTCCTCAGGCTCTCTGTGTCCGGCCTCAGGCTCTCTGTCCTCGGGGAAGGCAGGAGGACCGCGCTCCGAGCTGCCGCTGGCCGCCATCTTTGAAAACAGCAGCGGTGACGTCACTTATTCCTCTTCTGTTTGATTTCCGGTTGCAGCGCGCGCCCGTCTGCACGATACTGCCCCCCTCTGGTTATGATCATTATTGCACTGTTCAAGTGGACACAGATCTGCAGCTACAGATATGTTCCTTCGTTTGTTTCCGACAAATACATTTATAATTATAATTTAAAACATGATACATTTGGCAGATACTTTGCTTTTGTGGATCTGATATTTACCCATAATTATTATAATATTTACAATTGTCACATATTCTTTTGTGAGATTACCTTAAATATGAGTCTACCTTCTGTTCTGACATGTGTTTTATGATTGTGTTTTCAAATATAAAATGATTAGTTGGATTTAAAGCAGAAAACCTTCAGATGTTTGATGTTTCTGGATCCTGACGACAGAAATCACAGGGACTTTCAAATCAATGTGTGTTTGGAATTATTCATCAGATCAAAAACTTATACCTGATGTGAAAGATAGAGTGGTGCCCTAAGCAGAGCGGTGGTGGGTGTCGGGTTGGAGAGTGTTTGGGACTGAGACACAGGGACAGTTTGATCTGAGTGTCGAGGAATGAAGACAGAGGCAGGGAATGTACCTGTGATACGCTTTAATTTCAAATCCTTCCAGATCAAAGGAGACAAAGCTTTATACGTGATTTATGTCAATGTGTCAGAACAAAGACATACAGAGAGAAATGTTTAGCACAGGTACAGATAAAACAGAGGTCCACAGGTACAGAACATGCAGCTCCGACCCCACACCCGGAGCTTAGCACTGGTACAGAGGAAACAGGGGTCCACAGGTACAGAACATGCAGCTCGGACCCCACACCCGGAGCTTAGCACTGGTACAGAGGAAACAAGGGTCCACAGGTACAGAACATGCAGCTCAGACCCCACACCCGGAGCTTAGCACTGGTACAGACAGTTGATCCGCAGAATGTCATTGACGCTCAAACTGTCGGCGAATCCGAACCCTGAGAAGGAAGGATCCAGAGCCGTGATGGTCGGCTGGTCGTTAGAGCTGAAGCTGAGGAAGAAAGTATAAAATCAGAATGTCCTGGAAAAAGACGTTCTCTCTCTCTCTGGTCTCTCTCTGGTCTCTCTCTCTGGCTCTCCTCTCTCTCTGGTCTCTCTCTCTGGTCTCTCTCTCTCTCTCTGGTCTCTCTCTCTGGTCTCTCTCTCTGGTGTGTGTGTGTGCACTTGTTTTCAACTCCTGGTGGGGTCCATAACCTGAGATTCCACTCACGTCATGGGGACTGATTCTGACGATGTAACTGTCAAGAAGAAACCTGTAAAAAAGTATGGAAAAAGAAAAGTCTAAAACACTTTTCTTCAAGACTCGGAAAGTGACGAACCAAAGGCAAATAAGATTGTTATCATGCAGCTGCAAAAGAAGAAAAATGGGGGGAGAGTTTACAGCAAGAGGCACTTCTGCCTCTACTGTTCAATGTCCTGCCACAAAATGTCCCGTCATTTGACTAGAAAACATGGAAATGAAAGTGACGTAGCCAGAGCATTGGCTCTACCTGTGAAATCTAAAGCACGTAAACTTCACTTTGATTTGATCAGGAATAGTGGAAACCGTGAGCACAATGTTGAGGTTTTAAAGGCCGGCATTGGAACTTTAGTCCCAGCTAAACAGCCAAATTCCCCAGTTAAATCCAGTGAGTTTTTGCACTGTATAGACTGTGGGGCATTGCTTAAGCGAAAGTGGCTGTGTGGAGGCATGTGGCCAGGTGCCGGCTTTCACAGAAAGATGCCCAGGCTAAACCAGGCTAAACCAGGCTAAACCAGGTAGAAGTAGGGTCCAGTCCCTCTGCTCCCTAGCCCAGCCTGTACCGGAGGGCATCAGCAAAAAGCTGTGGTCTTTAATTTGGGCAATGCATCAGGATGAGGTCACGGGTGTTGTCAAAGCAGAAAAGGGGATTCTGAGACTCGGAGAGCACCTGTACTTAAAACACGGGCATGATAAGACTAAGCATGATTACATTAGGCAGAAAATGAGAGAAGTCGGTAGGTTAATTAACGAAGCAAAAACCGCAGGGAAACTGAAAACAATGAAGGATTTCTTTATTCCTTCCAACTTTAACCATGTGATTGATGCAGTCAGGTCTGTGGCTGGATATGATGAGGAAACAAATCAATACAAGACTCCATCCTTGGCCCTCAAACTCGGCCATAGCCTCAGAAAGCTAGCAGATATTCTTGAATGTGACTCAAAAATGGAGCATTGTGTTGATGAACTATTTATTAAAAACCTCCAACGAAGCCGGCTGCTTTTTGAGAAGAGGTGGGACGTCTGTGTTTCTTCTGCTGCCCTACAGACCCTCCGGCAAGCCAAGTGGAACACTCCGGACCTGCTCCCTCTGACTGAGGACGTTAGAGCCATGCATGCACATATTGAGGTATGTCGACCTGAATATGTGCAAACCCTAATAAGTGAGCCAACGTCTAAGCATTGGTCTAAACTGGCAGTTTTGACTCTTTGTGAGGTCATTATTTTCAATCGAAGAAGGGAAGGTGAGGTTTCAAAGATGCCACTGACAGCGTTTACCTTAAGAAGTAAGACTGGGATCCATTCTGACATTGCTCTGGGACTGTCCCAACTTGAGAAAAAGCTGTGTCAGCATTTTCAACGCATTGAAATTAAAGGGAAAAGAAGTGGGAAAGTGGTGGTTCTTTTGACTCCTGAAAATGATTGCTTGGATGGAGGTGCTGGTGGAGAACAGAAGGGCCTGTTCCATCTCTGACCATAACCCATACTTCTTCTCCCGCCCGGGCGCAGACACCCACATCAGGGGATCAGACTCCCTACGGCAGGTAGCCAAAGAATGTGGTGCGGTGCATCCAGAGATGCTATCCTCAACCAAACTTAGAAAGCACATAGCTACTATGTCTACAGTTCTCAATATGAAAGAGAATGAAATGGACATACTAGCCAACTTCCTCGGCCATGACATTCGCATCCACAGACAATATTACAGACTACCAGAGGGGACACTGGAGCTGGCCAAAATCAGCAAAGTGTTGATGGCCATGGAGCAGGGAAGAGTGACGGAATTCAAAGGAAAGAGCCTCGACCAGATACAAATTGAGCCTGAAGGTAATTCTTGATATTATTAAAATATGTATGATTTTTTTCCCCTAAAGGCCACTTGTATTTTTATTTTCTGTGCGACAGGGAGAGCAGTAGAGATCCTCTCACAAACGGACGGGCTAAAAGAAACTTCAAGCGGAGAACCTTCAACCATTCATCCAGATGCACCCCATGGTAGTGGCAGTGCCCCTTCTGGTAAGTGTACCAGGTGGGGGATTACAGCCAGGCTGCTTGGTCCTAACCCTGGGAGTGTATATTGCTTTTTTTTTTTTTTTTTTTTTTTCTCTTTATTTGATTTTCAAGGTAACATACATTCAACAAACAAACAAACAAGAATATGTGTAGAGACACATATTTTAAGGAATACAGCAAATTGTGCGCGTGTGAGGGTTGGTGTGTGTGGCGTGCGTGCGTGTGTGTGTGTGCGGAACAGTACATTGTGCAAGCAACATTATTATTAATTTATGAACTATAAAAGAACAAAAAAGAAAAATAATGGACAGACAATAAGCATAACACTGGATGATAAGTTTTAACCTATGGCTAGAGAAGACATGGGATATATTGGAGCTACATAAAGAAAGAAATGGTGCGGTAGTAAATGTATAATGAGACAAACAGTAATACAAGTTATAAGAATAAATAGAATAATAAAAATAAAACAAATAATAATAATAATAATAATAAAAAAAAAAAATATATATATATATATATATATATATATATATAAAAAAATAGAAAATGGTCCAACCGATATACCCAGACGCAAGCATATGCTTGTACCCATGGTTGAAGTGTTTAACCTATAAGGATTGTTGAAGGCAGTAATAGTGGCAGAAGGAGAGGAAAAAAAAAATACAAATAAAATAAAGTCTGCATACAGATATATACCCATAAATACATACATATATGTACCCACGGATATACACACGCACCTATACATTTATATACACACATAAAAATCATATATGTGGATTACATATATGAAATATAGAGATTCTATTATATAGGGTTATCCCAAATTATTTACGCACACCATATTTAGAGATACAATCCCCTTCCACTTTTCCTATGTCTGGTCCCTCCATCTCCCACCGTGCCTTAATGTGTAGTGCATTAAAAACATTTGTGGAATGTGGTGCATTAAAAAAAAAAAAACTCAGACATACTTGGTAAGAGATCGAGGGGGGATGCTTTTTTGTTTTTTAATTTTCTTTGCTTTTTTTTTTTGCTTTTTTCTTTCCCTTCCCCTTCTCCTTCCCTCCTTTTCTTTCCTCCATCCCTTTCCACTCCTTATCTATCTAGCTTACTTTATATATATGTATATATATATATATATATATATACACACAATACACATATATACATGTATATATACATATTAGTGCTGTCCAACGATTAAAATATTTAATCGCGATTAATCGCATGAATTTCATAGTTAACTCGCGATTAATCGCAAATTAGTCACACATTTGCGTGCTGTGTGCAATTGCTTTTTTAATTGAAAACAATGTGTAGTGTTATATTACACACTAACATTTGATGCAAAATCATCAATAAATGGATGACAAAATAAATAATTGGTAACAAAAAGCCCCTTCAATGTGTGTGTGTGGGTGTGTGTGTGTTTATGGGTGTGGGTGTGTGTGTGTATGTGTGGGTATAGACCATAGACTGTATAGAAACATCATGGTGTCATTATGATGATGATAAACAATCTGTAAATATTTTGTAAATTTGTTCATGTAAATACTCTATGCTGTTTCTCTGTTTACCTTCGGTATATCTATGACTGTATACTGTTTGCTTGTATTGCCTTTTTTATTAACCCCTCCCCCCATCTCCCACTTCATGTCCCCCCCCCCCCCTCCCCTCCTATGTGCCCTTCTGGGTTTCTTCTTTGGCCCCCTGTATCTCCAACTACATATTGTTTGTAATCTCTGTCTACAATGTATCTGAACTAGTCCTTTTCTTTGTTTCTATGTGTTTGTCTGCAATAAAAAGTAAAAAAAAAAAAAAAAAAAAAAAAAAAAAATATTTTTTTTTTTTTATCGCGCGATAAAAAAAATGACGGCGTTAATATTGATTTGCGTTAACGCGTTAATAACGCGCTATTTTGGACAGCCCTAATACATATACATACATATATACATATATATACACACACATGCATAGGTGTACGTACATATAAAAGAGATTTTTCTTTTTTTTTCCTTCCTTTCCTTCCCCTCCTTTTCTTTCCTCCTTTTTTTCTACTAAAATTATAGTGAAAATAGTATATATATATAAAAAAAAAAAAAAAAGGATAATCCTATATAATATTAGTGGTGTTATGAGGGAAATTGATTATAGGGAGAATAAATGCGTACAAAAAATAAAATAAAAAAATAGAAATAAAAAAATAAAAATAATTATAATAATTATAATACTGCCACTGCCACTGCCATCAAGAAGAGAAAAATGTATACAAGAATAATGATAATAATTATAATGAAAATAATCATAATAATAATAATAACAGTAACCATAATAATAGTAATAAATAATAGTCCAGTTGCGACTAATATATTATAGTACAGGAGGTAAAGAAAAAGGCAAATAACTTAATGATCATAAGTAAGGAGGAGAAAGAAGCAAAACAAAACACATCTAAGTTGATTTCTGGGTAGGAGGAGGTATTGTGGTATTGTCAAGATCATAGCATTATGAGTGTATTGATGTGATGAGGGACGACCAGACGGAGGGTTCTATTGCGGATTGGTTGGAATGGTGCAGGGAGTTTTTTGTTGAGATGTATTGACTCATTAGATTTTTCCATAATGCAATGTTTATGTTTGACCTTGATTTCCAGTTCATGAGGATTGTTTTCTTGGCGATGGTTAGGGCCACTAGCAGCATATTTGTGTCTGAGTGAGTGTTTATTTGAGACAGGTCGCCGAGCAAACAGAGGGAGGGGGACATTGGAATATGGCAACCAATAAGTGAAGAAAGAATTAATGTGACCTTTTCCCAAAATTATGAGGTGGGTGGACAATGCCAGAAGGCGTGGATATAGGTGTCTGGTGTGTTCTGAGTGCAGTTAGTGCAGGTGTCTGATGTGAATCCCATTTTGAACATTCTGTGCCCCGTGTAGTGAGTTCTGTGCAAGACTTTGTATTGTATGAGTTGTAGGTCTGTGTTTTTTGTCATAGTATATATGTTTTTACAGATTTGAGTCCAGGAGTTGGCATCGAGAACAAAGGCTACGTCTTCTGCCCATTTGGAGGTTGGGAGAGTGGTGGATTCGTCTGATTGTAAGATTAATTTGTAGATTTTGGAAAGGCGTTTTTTGGGTATATTAATTCTGATAATGTTTGCGATTAGTGGCGGGAGGTTTAAATTGTTGGGGTTGTTTTTTAATGTCGAGGTTAAGGATGATTTTAGTTGAAGGTATTCCAAGAAATGTTTGCTCTCGATGCCATACTCCCGGACTAGGGTGGTGAATGAAGCCAATTTATTGTGGTGGGTAATGTGTTGTAAGTGGGTGACCCCTTTTCCCGCCCATGTGATGAAATGAATAGTGTTTTTATTACAGCAAATGTCCGGATTATTCCAAATGGGGGTGTGAATTGATGGGGCCAAATTAGTGCTAGTGATTTTGTGTAATTTCCACCAAGCTGTCAAAGTTGAAGATATAGTTAGTAATTTGAAAAGGGGTTGTTTTTTTATTGCTGGACTGAGGAATGGTAGGTCCGAGATTTGAAGAGGAGTGCAAAGGGTTTGTTCAATGTCTATCCAAGTGTTATCTGCTGCTTGTGGGTGAATCCATTTGAGGATGTATTGTAATTGGTTTGCAATGGAATAGAGAGTGAAATTTGGAGCTGTGAGTCCACCAAGGTCTTTAGGTTTTTGTAGAGTGGTTAACTTTATTCGAGGAGGTTTATTTTTCCAGTAGAATTTTGCAATGATGGAGTCCAATGATGTAAACCAGGAGGAAGGGGGGTGGATTGGGAACATGTTGAATAGGTAGTTAATTTTAGGGAGGATCATCATTTTGATACTATTTATTCTACCGATGAGGGAAAGTGGTTGGTTCGTCCAGCGAAGTAAGTTGTCCTTTATTGTTTTTAATAGTGGTGTGAAGTTGAGGTTAATGAGCTCTGACAGCTTGGAGGAGATGTGCACACCCAGGTAAGTGATGTGGTTGGTGGAGACAGGGATAGGGGGGCTATAGGCTGCCATATCCCAGATGTTTTTTTGTGAAGGGAGGATTGATGATTTAGTCCAGTTGATGGTGTAGTCTGAGATCTTCGAGAATTGTTCTATAACCTTTATTGTTTGTTCTAGCGAAGATTGTGGGTTTTGAAGGAATAAAAGTATGTCATCTGCGTATAGACTGATTTTATGGTGATTATTGGGTGTTTGTACTCCTTTGATGAAGGGATCTTGACGGATGGCTGTGGCTAACGGTTCAATGAATATTGTGAAAAGGAGCGGAGAGAGTGGACAGCCCTGTCTGGTCCCCCTGTGAAGTGTGAAGCGATCTGATGTGAGTCCATTAGTGGTTATTGTGGCGGTCGGTGAGGTGTATAGAATTTTTATCCAATTGATAAATGACTCCCCAAAGCCAAATCTCTGCAGGGTGGAAAAAAGGAAGGACCAATTAACTTTATCGAATGCTTTTTCAGCATCTAGAGTGACAATTGCAGTTGGAGTTTTTTGTTGTTGGGTGTGTTCAATTATGTTGAAAAGTCTGCGAGTGTTGTTTGAGGAGAATCTGCCTTTGATGAAACCTGTTTGATCTGGGTGGATGATGGTTGGGAGAATTGTGTCTAATCTATGGGCTAATGTTTTGGTGATGATTTTGAGATCTACATTCAGCAGTGATATTGGGCGGTAATTGGATGGAAGGGTGGGGTCTTTGTTGGGTTTTAAGAGTACTGTGATTATAGCTTGATTCATGTTGATTGGGAGATTTGAGGTGTCCTTGATTTCTGAAACAACTCTTAGGAACAATGGGTTAAGGATTGACCAGAAATGTTTATAGAACTCAGCAGGGAAGCCATCAGGACCAGGAGATTTATTATTCGGCATTCTTTTGAGAGAATTTAGAAGTTCTTTTTCTGTAATTGGTGCATTTAGAGATTGGTTTTGATTTGGAGTAAGACGTGGAAGATTGAGATTATTGAGAAAAGAGTTTATAGTTTCCTGTGATGGTTTGTTTTCTGGTGTATATAGAGAACTATAGAATGTTTTAAAAATATTGCTGATTTCTTGTGGTGATTGTGTTGGCTTCCCTGCTGAGTTCCTTAGCATGGGTATAGTTGATTTTTCTTTGTTTTGCTTGAGAAGGCCAGCTAAAAATTTTCCAGAATTATTGGTGTATAATTTTTCTTGTCTTAATTGTTGAAGTTGGAATTGTGTTTTCCTGTTTATTATTTTATTGAGCTCGTATTTACATTTCCTTATTAAATTTTGTGTTTGTTCTGTTGGTTGGTTTGCGTTTGATATTTCCAATTGTTTTATTTTTACTTCAAGTTCAATTTCCTTTTGAATCTCTTTTTTTTTTTGTATGAAGAGTATGAAATTATAATACCTCGTAGAACTGCTTTGCCAGTTTCCCAGAGTACTGATGGGGATGTCTTTGGGGAGTCATTTATATCCATAAAGGCTGCCCACTCTCTCCTGATAAGTTTGTCAAAGTCTGGGTCAGTTAATAAGGAGGTGTTGAGGCGCCATCTATTTGGAGGTTTCCCATGTGTGGGTAGTTTAAGGGAGAAAGATACAGGAGCATGATCACTGACTGTGATTGGGTGAATAGTGGTATCTGCAGTTTTTTGGAGGAGTGAATGACTGATAAGAAAGAAATCTAACCGTGAATATGAATTGTGTACTGGGGAGTAAAATGAATATTCTTTAGAAGTTGGATGTTGCAGACGCCAACCATCGCAAAGACCAAAATCGCTCATGAACTGGCGTATTGAATCAGATGCTTGCCATGCACGGTTAGTTTGGCTGCTTTTGTCAATAGATGGATCAATTATTGTATTAAAGTCTCCACCTATTACGAATGGTGGGTTGAAATTGTTTGAAAGAGTTGAAAATAGCATATGAAAAAAAGTAGGGTCATCACTGTTGGGTCCATAAACATTGCATATTGTTAGTGGAGAGTTGTTGATAGAAATATTTATAATGACAAAACGGCCATCTGTATCAGTGATAGTTGAATTATGAGTAAAGCACAAATTTTTATGTAAAATAATACAGACCCCTCTTTATCTGGTGTTGTAGTTGGAGGAGAAAATGTGGTTGTAATTTTGTATTTTTAAGGTGTCATTTGAATCTGATAGGTGTGTTTCTTGTAATAAACAAATGTCTACCTTGTGTTTCTCAATGTAATTAAAAAGTTGTATTCTTTTGGAGGGGTTACCAATACCCCGAATATTCCAGCTCATAAATTTTAGTGCCATGATTCATATAATTATCCGTAATAGTAATAATAATAATAATATAATATTACGTGCCTGTGTGTTTGTATGTGTGCGTGCGTGCGTGCGTGTATGATCATGGAAGGATTTATGCCTCCGAGTGCCAATTTGTGGTGTGTGTGGAAGGCATCTGAATAATGCGATAGGACACTGAAAAATGAGTATGAGGTAACTAAAGGTGAGAGAGTTGTGTATGCCCTTTTTTAGCTCCCCAGGCATTAGGGCCGAAGTTGTTAAAGTTTTGAGAGTTGGTGGCGCTCTGATGACGACATCAAGTTGCGACCGTGTTTACCTCATGCTTCTCTGTTGGTTCCGCGTCGTCTCCCCCGGTGAGCCAGTACGTGATTTTAGAATTGCGGTAGAGTTCGCCGTCAATGTACAGTTTATCGATGGATATTTTGGCTCTTCGACCAGCGGCCCTTGCCTCTGCTAGCACCGGTTGGAGCAACTTGCGGCGCCGCATGATTTCGCCGGGGAACTGGTCCGTCAAACCCAGTCCCGTTCCCTTCAGTTCCCCGGCCTTCCCCATGATGGTGATCTTGTGCCTGGGATCTAGGAGTTTGGAAACAATGGGACGGCCTCGAGGTGTTTTCCCGCGCCATTGACCCAAGCGATGGGCCCTTGCAAGCTGGATCTGTTTGACAGCGCTGTCTTCCATCTTGAGGAGGGTTTTCAGAAATGATTTGACAAGTTGTTCTGTGTCCTGGTATGACTCCTTTTGTTGTTCGGGTAGACCATGTATAATGAAATTGTCCCGCATACTCCTACACTGTAAGTCTAGTATCTGGTTTTGATTTTCTATTGCGTGCTGTTGTAGATTTGCTGTCTGGGTTTTAAGTTGATTGACTTCCAGTCGTAGTGTCACATTTTCTTTATTAAGGACATCCACTAGAGCAACATGGTAGTCCAATGATTGTTTCAGGTCGTCAACATCTTCTTTCAACTTTTGTAGAAGGTCCAGTTTTGTTAGCTGTTGTCTCATCGCTTCCATATCTTTGCGCATTTGGTGGATGTCGCTGGAGATGTCTGCGTCGATGTCGCTCGAGCTGAGCTCCTTTCTAAGGCGTTTGGAATCTGGTTTTTCTGTCATCTTGTGGAAAGTGTCAATGTACTTTTCCAGGTCAGAAATCGTGGCCTTGCTGTAAGGTTCCAGTTTTACAAATGTACAGCTCTCGCTCTGTCTGCTCGCTCTCGCTCTGTCTGCTCCTGTATATATGTGTATATTGCTAATATATTTTTATTTCTCTCCCTAGAACGTTAGAGAAAGCCATGGTCTGCATCTGAGGTGAAGGCTGTGGAGAAGACCATGACGCCTGGAAAAGTCCCTGGGAAGTCTCACTGCCTGGCCTGGCCTGGCCTGGCCTGCATTAATGCCTCACCAGCTGACCTTAGACACCGGACATGGAGTGGCATTAAATTCTATGTCAAAAATAGAATCACTGCAATAAAAAAAAAAATCAAAAATAAAATTCCTTTAAAAGAGTTGTTTGTTTTCTATTGACTGATTTGTGTTTTGTATTATTATTATGTATTATTTATTATGTGTGTGTGTGTAGAGTGAGTGTGTGTTTGTGTAGAGTATGTGTGTGTAGTGTTTGTGTGTGTGTGTGTGTGTGTGTGTGTGTGTATGTGTGTGTGTGTGTAGAGTATGTGTGTGTGTGTGTAGAGTATGTGTGTGTGTTTGTGTAGAGTATGTGTGTGTGGTTGTGTAGAGTATGTGTGTGTGTCTGTGTAGAGTATGTGTGTGTTTGTGTAGAGTATGTGTGTGTGTTTGTGTAGACACTATTAAACCTGTTGATACGTTTGGACTTGGTGAGTTTGAAAACAAAGTCCAGCTTAAACCTGACTCTGACATTTCAGAAACTCAAAGTGAAAGTAAAGGTTTGACAGTCGGTCCTCTCTTTTGAATGTCTTTTGTAAAAGTCGCTTCATGGAACTTCTGTGGGAATGAATCCACATGTTTCCACTTCAGTGTTTGTCCAGAAGAGAACAATGGGCCTCATTCACGAATAACTTCGTAAGAAACTACTCAACTTTCTTCTCAAGTTGTCCTTAAGTAGATTTCTAAGAAGTCCCCACGTGGGATTCATCAACGCACTCGTAAGCCGCTGAATTGTTCGCAGCTGTTCTCTCAGATTGATGAATCCCATTTCCTCGTAAGTACAGCGCGCGTGCCAGGTGCTTCATTAGCATAGGTACTTAGCATAAGTAACCGCCCACTAATGCCCATATAAGGGACTGCAGGGCCGTGTGCAGACGGCAGAGGAAACAGCAACAGGCCTAAAGCAAAGAGTTACACGGAGCAAAAGAGTCACCCTTTTTTCTTCTTTTACCAGACTGAGAATAAAGTTATAAAATGTTGACTTAAAAGTCGAAATATTATGATAATAAAGTCGAACTAGCAAAATTATGAGATTAATCTAAGAATATGATGAGATCAATCTCAAAATGTTATGAGCTTAATTTAAAAATATATTATGTATTATTTTAAAGATGAATCTCAAAATGTTTTGAGATTAATCTCAAAATATTTTGGACCCTGGGAGGAGATCCAGCGCGGACCAGCGCTGAGACCAATGCAGACCCGAGGAGAGACTGGAGTGACCAGCACACAGAAACCAGCGCGGACCTATAGGAGAGACCGCATAGACTGGAGTGACCTGACTGGAGAGACCGGTGCGCAGAGACCAGCGCGGACCGAAGATAGACCGCATAGACCAGACTTGAGAGACCAGCGCGGACCCGTATGGATCCAGGAGCATGCAGCACGGACCCGTATGGAGAGAGACCAGTGCAGACCCGTATATGGGAAAGACCAGTGCAGACCCGTCTAGATCCATGGGAGAGACCAGTGCAGACCAGTATAGATCCATGGGAGAGACCAGTGCAGACCCGTATATGGGAGAGACCAGTGCAGACCCGTATATGGGAGAGACCAGTGCAGACCCGTATAGATCCATAGCAGAGACCAGCGCAGAGACTCAGTGCGGACCCAGTAACCTCCTGCAGCAGCAGTATATATGCCGTTGTTCTGTGGCCCGTGGATAAAGAAATGCCCCCTATAAATAGGAAGGGGTCACTAATACACGGCAAGATTTCCAATGTATTTGATAAAGCGTTGGCACATTTCATTTCAAAATGAATTAAAAAGTAGGCCAGATCTGCAGTGAAAAAGGCGGTATATAAATAAAGATTACTACAAATAAATAAATACATACATCGATATGACGGACATATCACTGGAATGTTGTATTTTTATTCAACTTCACCAAAGAGGACAACCCCGGCGTGTGAACATGTCGGCACTGAATGCGTACGAGTGCTCCTGAGGACTCGTAGGATTTGTACTTGCCCAAGAGAAATTCTGGTTACGAGAAATATTCGTGAATGCCACTTTCTTCGTAAAAACCGCGTAAGTAGGATTTACGTACAAATCTGTTCCTAAGAACCGTTCGTGAATGAGGCCCATTGTTTTCAAGAGTCCAGTGGGTGAGAACAGAAAGTCACTGAGGGGCTTGTGGGGTCAGAGCGTTTATCCAGGAAAGATTAGTAAAGCTGGTAGACCCTGAGTGTGTTCTCTATTAGTGAACAGAGACTTTACATCCATAGTAACAAGCAGAGGCTCACACACTCTTCCATTTGTAAAAGAACGTGTGTAGAATCTTGTAGAAATGATGCTAAAGAGCTCGTGAAGGGCTTCATGAAGAAATCCATGTATTTTCTGCAGGTTAAGCCAGATTCTTATGCCTCTACCTGGAATCAACACAAAAGATCAAATGTTTATTAAAAACAGCCTTTTAAACTATTGTGGGAATAAGGACATTTTACTGGTTAAATTTGGACACCCCTGTAATATTTCATTTTTTCTTTTTATTTATTTTAATGTCTTATTGAGACTATAGGAAGGCACAGTATTTAATGTTAGTTTACATTAAAATGGCATACTGGCGCCACCAGGTGGCGTTCGCCTGTTTTTGAGTTAAGGTGAGGGCCTCACGTGAGTAGAGAGAGAGAAAGTGACGAGAGTTTTCATAGAGAACATGATTGTGAACCTGCAGTTGCCTGTCGTGTTAAAGGACAATAAAACCACTGTGAATCGTCAGATGCTGCCTCTTCTTTACACGTGCAACAAAATTTGGTAGCAGAGGATGGTTCAGCTGTGCTACAAAAGACGGTGAGTCAGCGGAAAAGAATGCAAGACTACACGATGCAGTTTGAGGAGCTTCAGGACAAGCTAAGCGAGGCCTTGGTGCAGCTACAACCTGAACAACTCCACGAGGTGTGTGATTTTGCAAAGATAGACACTGCAAAGCCGTCCAGAAAGCACACGCTGTTAAAAAAGATAAGCACGGAGGTTGACAATGTCATTGAAAAAGAAGAGGAGACCATAGCACTGACGTTTCTGCGAGCGCTAATCGCATATGCTAATGATGCTAAGGAGAGAGCCGAACCACCGCCACCACAAGCAGCTGCAGAGACGAGCGTCAGCCACGAAGCAGAAGCACTTTCTATTTTGCAAAAACAATATGCAGCTTTACAAGAAAGTTTTCTGGAGTCAACAAAGAAAATTGAAGAGGAAATGGCCAAGCTAACAACGCGAGGCATGACTGGACAGCAGAGACGCGCTGATCTGACGCAGCCCCTTGCTCCCCGACACCTCCATTGCCTGAAGTGACTATCAGAAGAGAGTTTAGGATTAATGGTCAAATCGGAGAGCGAGGCCAGAAAGACAAACTTTCGTATTCTAATCTCATTCACCAGATTGATATGGGCCTAAAGAAGCATCACAGTGAATGTGAGATTATTGAAGCAGTCGTCAGAGCGGTGAGTCCTGGTCTCAGTCTACGTGATATGTTGGAGATAAAGTCAGATCTCACTCTGTCTCAGCTACGCACAATTCTGCGGGGACATTATAAAGAGGACAGCTCCACAGACCTGTACAATCGCCTAATGAATCTCACACAGGACAGCAATGAGTCACCCCAGAACTTTCTGTTTCGTGCGATTGAGTTAAAAGAAAGACTTTTAGTGGCATCAAAAGAACCCGGTACTGAAGAGCAGTACAGTCCCAACTTAATCCAAAGAAAGTTTCTGAGGGCTGTGGAAACAGGACTGCTTAGTGCGGATGTAAAATACCAACTAAAGCAGTACTTGGAGGATCCTGCTGTTACAGACGAGATTTTGATTACTAAAACCAATGCAGCAGCCAGTCTTGAATGGGAACGACAACAAAAGTTCAAAAAGCACATGAAAGAGCCTAAAATCAGAGAACTCACAGTAGAAGCTCAAATAGTTCCAGAAGCAACCGTCGGAAGTGTGAACAGTCAAGCGTGCCCTGCCCAGTCTACAAAAGACATTAGGTTCACAGGTCTGCCTCATAAATGAGACCTGGAGACAAAACAACATGCCAGACACTACAGTTAGGGACCTAGCTGAGTTGGTGGGTCCAGATGTACTGGATGGGAGAGCAGTAAACCAGACACCTATTCCGTTTTCTGGGTGGGTGGAGGTTACATTTAAGCTTCCTGCAGACAGTGATCCTCATGTAGAGCTCTCAGTCCCTGTGTTAGTGGCAAATGGACCTGGAGTGGCAGAACAACCTATAATTGGGTTTAATGTGATTGAGCATGTCCTTAAAATGGGCATTGAACCCCCATGCACACTCAGTGAAGCAGTTAGCGCAGCCTTCTCATTTGACTGTAAGAGGACAGAGGTGTTCCTGAAGGTGATGCAAAGTGAGGAAGATGGGTTGGGGGAAGGCATGGTAAAAACAGGTAATGAGACAGTGACTATTCCTGCGGGCCACACCAAATCGGTTAAGTGTTTGTCAGAGCAGGCACAGTTACAGACACGCAAGATGTACTTTTTGAGCCAAATCAGTACACTCAGTTACCGGATGGGTTACAGATGCAGAGTGGGGTAGTACTGTTAAGGAAGGGGCGTCGGTCCATGTTGATCATCCCTGTCACAAACAGTAGTAGCCGTGACATCGAAGTGCATGCTAAAACAGTTTTGGGACAGACACAAAGGGTCAAAACAATTTATCCTGCAGATATGAAGCCAGCTACTGTAGGTCAAGTTGTAACGGATCCAGTTATGGACAATCAAAACATGAAGTGTAGAGATGTGGACAATACCGCTAATGCATCTACTGACATTTGGGAGCCCCAAGTTCCCCTCGATCACCTCCCCCCAGCAGAACAGGGCAGAGTTAGACAGCTTTTGAGGGAGGAGAGACATGCATTTGCGCGTGATGGGTATGATGTAGGCACAATTCCCTCTCTACAGTTAAAAATAAGATTGAACGATCCCACTCCCGTTAAGAAGACCTACATCTCAGTACCTAGACCGCTGCACAAAGAGGTGAAAGAATACCTAGAGGACTTATTGAACAGGGGTTGGATAACTAAATCAAGGTCATCATACTCCAGTCCCATTGTTTGTGTGCGGAAAAAGGACGGTGGTCTGCGCTTGTGTTGCGATTTCAGAGAGCTGAATAAAAAGTCCATACCCGACCGTCACCCCATCCCCCGCATACAGGACATGTTGAACAGTTTAAAAGGAAGTGCGTGGTTTTCAGTCCTCGACCAAGGGAAGGCATATCACCAGGGTTTCGTGGAAGAGTCGAGCCGTCCCCTCACTGCTTTCATAACACCGTGGGGTCTCTTCGAGTGGGTAAGGATTCCATTTGGTCTGTCCTCAGCACCGGCAGTATTCCAAAGATCGATGGAGGAGTGTTTGTTGTGGGGGTTGAGAGATGACATTTGCTTGCCTTACCTCGATGATAATTTAGTCCATTCACAGACATTTGAAGATCACCTGCGTGACTTGAGAAACGTCCTTCATCGTTACCAGAGCCACGGAGTGAAACTCACTCCACGAAAATGTGAGTTATTCAAGCAGCAGGTACGTTTTCTAGGCAAGATGGTCACAGAACAGGGCTATACTATGGATCCTGCGGACATTGCCCCAGTGCAGGCGTTAAAACAGAACCAGCCTGCCACTATAGGAGAGTTAAGAAAGTTATTAGGCTTTGTCTCATATTATAGGAGCTACATACCAAACGTCTCTCGCATAACTAAGCCTCTGTACGACCTCCTAGCAAATAAAGAAACGGATACAAAAAAACCAAACACAAGGAAACTAAGTAAACTGAAACAAAATGGGGTGGGTCAACTGCCTTCGTCCCATAAAATCAAGTGGTCATTTGAGCATCAGACAGTGCTGAGCCAACTCATTGACTGTTTATCCCAGCCCCCTGTGTTGGGTTACCCAAACTTTGAGGAGCCCTTTATTTTGCATTGTGACGCTTCACAAGAAGGACTTGGGGCAGTGCTTTACCAGAGGCAAAACGGGAAACTGGTAGTCATAGCATATGGCTCCAGGACGCTTACAAATCCACCTTCATTCAGGGAAACTGGAGTTCCTTGCCCTGAAGTGGGCCATATGTGAGAGGTTTCGGGATTTTCTATACTATTCACCCCCATTTACTGTCTATACTGACAATAATCCCCTTACATATGTGCTCACCACCGCAAAATTAAATGCAACAACACAGAGGTGGATGGCAGAGCTTGCGGATTTCCAGTTTGTCATTAAGCACCGGCCAGGAAAAGCAAATGGTGATGCAGACGGCCTCTCACGTATGCCCTTAGATATGGAGCAATACATGAGCAAATGCACGCAAGATGTTCAGCCTGAAGTTAGGCAATGTGTGGCTCAAGCAGTCAAGGTGAAGTCACAAGTGAATGAGCCTTGGCTTTGTCCAGTTACTATTTCCACTCTTATTAGTGCAGAAGATCTGGAAATGAGCTCAGTGGCTGAACTATCAAAGGCTGATTTGAAGAGAGCTCAAGAGGAAGACTCAGTTATTGGAGATGTTTTGGGATATGTGATGTCAAAGCAATGGCCAAAAAGTATAAAACATCTAAACAATAAAATCGCAGCCCTTGTCAGAGAAAAACACAAACTTCAAATAGGAGATGATGGACTGCTTTATCGGAAAACAGCCTCCCGCATCCAGCTGCTCTTGCCCCAAAAGTTCCATAAGCTGGTTTTACAAAGAGTTACATGAGGACATGGGCCATTTAGGGGTAGAGAGGGTCATGCATCTGATCAGGGAGCGCTTTTATTGGGCTCATATGCAAAGAGACGTTGAACATTACATCACTAAAGTGTGCAGTTGTTTGAAGAATAAGCGTCCCAACAGACCCACCAGAGCTCCGTTAACAAATATTGTCACTACATACCCGTTTGAACTAGTGTCAGTGGATTTTCTACATTTAGAAAGATGCAAAGGAGGATTCGAGTACATTTTGGTTATAATGGACCACTTCACTCGTTTTGCCCAGGCTTACCCCTGTCGCAACAAGGCTGCCCATACTGCTGCTGAGAAGATATTTGGGGACTTTGCGCTCAAGTTTGGTTTTCCCACTCGTCTTCACCATGACCAGGGAAAAGAGTTTCAAAATAAACTCTTCGCAAAGTTACAGGAGTATAGTGGAGTACAGGGATCGCGGACTACACCTTACCACCCCCAAAGAAATGGGCAGGTGGAGCGGTTTAACCGTACTTTGCTGGCTATGCTCAGAAACTTGCCTGAAGCAGCAAAAGCAGATTGGAAGTCTTCTCTCGCTAAGGTAGTTCATTCATATAACTGCACGCGCAGCGAGGCTACGGGGTATGCGCCATATTTCTTATTGTTTGGTCGAAGCCCAAAATTGCCAATTGATCTCATGTTTGGCCTGGAAACAAAAGAGCAGAGTTCATCACATCAAGAATATGCTGGAAAGTGGAGGATAAAAATGACTGAAGCTTACAAACTGGCCTCAAAATCAGCCTACAAAGAGGGAACGAGAGGTAAAGCCCTCTATGACAAAAAAGTTTATGGTGCCGAGTTGCTCCCAGGATCCAGAGTTCTGGTCAGGAACTTAAATGAAAAAGGTGGGCCAGGAAAACTTAGATCTTTCTGGGAAGATCGTGTTTATGTTGTAACTCAGAGGAAACATCAAGACAGCCCAGTGTATGAGATAAAACCGGAAAATGGCAAAGGACGCACACGTATACTGCACAGGAATTTGCTGCTGCCATGTGACTTCCTCCCTGTTGAAATAACTGTGCCTCCTGATAAAGAGACAAAGAAGAAGAAAAGAGACACAAAAAGACAAAGTCACATGGACACACAGAACAGCACAGCCGATTAGGATGAAGATGGCTGGCATGCCATAATCGGGCTGCGGACGGGAAATGGCACTGAAGAGGACAATCATCTGAGAATCGAAGCACCTGAGTTCCACCCAGACAATGACATGACTCAGGAGGGTGAGGAGCACGACACAGACGACGACACAAGGGCACATGTGGCACCAGAAGCCGAGGCGCCAGAGGACCGGGCTGAGAAAGTCGACGGTCGGGATGATGTGTTGTCTGAGTCCAGCTCCAGTGACCAGGAGAATCCGGTTGACACCCCAGCTAAACAGTATCCTTTCAGACTTAGAAAAAAAAGAGTGATATTTACCTATGATAAATTAGGTGTGCCTAGCACTTCAAGTGTTTAGCAAAAGGAAAGAAGTGAAGTCACTCAAGTTTTATGTTTAAAGTTTGAATTGTTAAATAGGAGCAGTTTTTGATTTGGCTCATACGTTACATAAATACTAGTTGTAGATTGAACACTTTACATAATATGAATAGATTTCAGTGTGTTAATTTGGCAACTGCACCACATATTGGTAAAGGGATAATAGTAGTTTTATAGTATAATAGTAGTCGTTTTAGTTCATTGGAATGTTAACGGGTGGACGCGAAGTAACTGTAAATTAAGAGCACACCTTCTCCTCTCGCTAGAGCCTGATATAATTTCTCTAAATGAAACTCATCTATCTAATTTTACACCTGAACTCGATGGATTTACATGGATTGGACATAATCGTATTTCTCATAGAAGAGCGGTTAAAGCCTCTGGTGGGGTGGGCATTTTCGTTAGAAACACATTTTTGGATATCTTCTGTATAAAAACTATTGATAAGACATTTGATGGCATTCTCTGTTTGTGTTTTGAGCACTTATTGACAAAGCATTCATTCATTATTATTTCTTGTTACTTATCCCCAGAAACCTCGACATGGGGCCGTAATGCTGACCTTTTCTTTGCGCATTTACTGTCATTAATATATGCGGCAGATGTTGACGCCGTTTATATATGCGGGGATTTAAATAGTCGAATTGCGTCTCTTAGAGACTATGCTGAGGAAGACGATATCCCTCCCAGAGTCGTGTTGGACACTGGTCAGAATAAACATGGAGAAAGTTTTATAGACTTTCTCAAAGACTCGAAATGCTGTGTTTTGAATGGTCGGGTAAACCCAGAAAATGATGAATTCACTTCTATATCAGTCAGGGGTAAAGCAGTTGTTGATTATATTATAACTCCACATGTGGATTTAAAAACTTGTGCCAAATTTAACATTTTCACACCCCATGACCTAATGGAAAAAAATGGGCAGTATGTGATGGAAATGATGGATGACAAATGTAGAATCCCTGACCATTCTGTGTTATATCTTTGCCTTCACACAAAAGATATTATTTCTACAGGGAATCATGCTAGGTCTAGTTTTCAATATAATGGGCCAATAAGAAAGCTGCAGGACAATTTTCTTGATTCTGAAGACTGTTGTAAAATTCTCAATGATATACATGAGATATTGGGGGATGTGGCAAATGTACAGGATAATACTAATTATTTTTATGACCATCTTTGTATGGTACTGGACAAGGAGCTTAATAAATACCGAACAAACAGGAAAACTCCTGTGACGAGCAATGGGAATCACAGAATAAAACAACCTTTTTGGAACAGTGAATTACAGAATTTGTGGGTAAAATTTCATTTGGCTGAGAAAAAGTTTTTGAAATGCAAAGACCACACTCTAAAAAAAGAGCTGCATGACGATTTTAGAAAAAGTCAATCTAACTTTGATAAGAAACTCAGATTCTACAAGAGACGATATAAAAGAGGTAAGGCCCTGCAGTTGGACCTTTTGAAACAAAGTAATGCTCAGCATTTCTGGAGAGAAATAAACAAACTTGGGCCGAAAAGAAAACAGACTATCCCTTTTGAAATAGTGACAGAAAGTGGGGAATCTGTTTTTCAGACTGATCAGGTACTGAACAGGTGGGAGTTGGATTATCGGGGTCTATTTGCTTTTAACACCTCCCACCAGTTTGATGATCAATTCCTAACTGATGTCTGCAGTGCCAAGCTCTTGCTTGAGAACAAACCTATGAATCCACCCTTGTCCTGTTTTAATGACCTCTTGAACAGAGCGATTACACTGGAGGAGGTGCGGATAGTCATTGATAAAACTAAACCACACAAGGCAGTGGGTGTGGATGATCTGTCCAACGAGGTTCTCAAAAGCCCAAAGTTGTTAAATGTTTTGCATTGTTTATTCAAATATTGTTTCCAGAATTGGGTTATACCATCAATTTGGTATAAATCTATCATCAAGCCTATTCCAAAATCATCTCAAGCTGACCCCAGAGTCCCTCTGAACTATAGAGGCATAAGTTTATTAAGTACAGTTTACAAGGTGTTTTCTGCCATCTTGAATAACCGGCTCTGTGAATTTTTAGAAGTGAATGAAATTTTGGTGGATGAGCAGAATGGATTCAGGAAGAAACGAGCATGTATTGACCACATTTATGCTCTATCCTCGGTAGTGAGAGCTAGACTTCAAGAAGGCAAGGATACCTTTGTGTGTTTTGTTGATTTTAAAAAAGCCTTTGATTGGATAAATCGAGATCTGTTGGAATTTAAGTTACTTAAGTGTGGTATTAATGGGGATTTCTATGAGTGTGTTAAAGCCCTGTACAAGGCTCCAGTAGCTTGTGTACAAGTGAATGACCTGAGGACTGGTTGGTTTCCTACTCCCTTTGGTGTGAAACAAGGAGACGCTCTCTCTCCAACATTATTTGCTCTTTATGTTAATGATTTGGCACATGAGGTAAAGAGAGCAAATTTGGGAATTGCTATTGATGACTTTAACCTCAGCATTTTATTATATGCTGATGATATTGTCTTGATAGCAGAGGAAGAAACAAAACTGCAAAAAATGTTGGATATTATGAATGTGTGGTGTTCCAAATGGAGATTAACTATTAATTGTGAAAAAACTCAAATAGTTCATTTTAGAAAACCGTCTGTATCACGAAGTGACTATGAATTTTCTTTTGGTCAAACAAGGTTGATGTATTCTGTTACCTATAAGTATCTTGGCTTTGGTTTTCATGAGAACATGAGTTTTTCGGAGGGTAGAAAGATACTAGCAGAGTCTGCAGGGAGGGCCTTAGGCGCTGTTATTAATAAGATGAAGATCTTTCCTGATTTAAGTTTTACTATTTATACACAACTGTTCGATTCAATGGTGGGATCTATACTCTTTTATAGTGCAGGCGTCTGGGGCTTTGGAGAGGCTCCAGAGTGTAATAATATACAAGGCAGGGCCATGAGATATTTCCTAGGAGTTCATAGGTTTACCCCCAGAGCGGCGATAGAGGGTGATATGGGTTGGGAACCATGTGTAGTCAAACAGAAGGTAGAGATGATCAGATTGTGGAACCGCCTTGTTCAGCTACCAGAGGACAGAATTACAAGGAAGATTCTTAATTGGGACAAAAGCCACAGACACCCTTGGTCCAGAGAGGTGTTCCAGATATTGTCAGAAGTTGAATTGGATTACTTATTTCAAAATAATCTACAGTGTAAATTGACAACTCTAAGGCAAATGCTAAATGATATTTATGAGGAAGAATGGAACGTGAAAGTTTTGCAAAAAACCAAGCTCAGAACTTACGTCCAGTTTAAGAGTTGTTTTGCTACAGAAAAATATGTAAAATGTAATCTGAGAAAAGGGCAGAGGTCTCTGTGTGCTCAGCTCAGAGCAGGAGTGCTGCCCCTGGAGGTAGAGGTGGGGCGTTACAAGGGGGTTCCACAAGATGGTAGACTGTGTGCTCTGTGTGAGCTGGGAGTAGTGGAGGATGAATTTCACTTTTTGTTTTACTGTCCTTTGTACAATGCATTGAGAATGGTTTTATTCACAAATATTCAATGTAAAAATCCTGATTTGTTTTGGCTTTCTGATGGTGATAGATTGTGTTGGATATTTGAAAATGATTTTTTTACAGTAGCAAATTTTGTAGAAAAGGCTTGGACATTGAGACAAAGGACTTTATATCCAGAGAGAGAGTAACTGCATCTGTATGTTTTGTGGCTTTATCTTCCTTTCTGTTGATAGTGTCATATAAGCCCATGAGGGCTGGGCACATACTGTATGTGTACGACACTTAAATAAAAAATATTCATTCATTCATTCAGTAGGCTATGACTGTGTTGAGTACCTTACTCTCAGGGAAGATGCAGATACTCACTATTGTGAACGATGCAGGGGAATGTTATAGTGCACAAAGACTTCTTCTGCAGACGTATGGCATGGAACGGAGATACATGTTGTACTGTGGACTGTAACCAGTTATGCATCTTTATGGACTCTTATGTTCACCTGACTCCAGCATATTAGTATCCTGCTGACATGTCATGCATATTTACCAGATGTGGACTGTATTTTGGGGTGTATTTTAGAGGTTTTATAATGTCGGGTCGACATTACATTTTTGAGGGGAGAGTGTGGGAATAAGGACATTTTACTGGTTAAATTTGGACACCCCTGTAATATTTCATTTTTTACTTTTTATTTATTTTAATGTCTTATTGAGACTATAGGAAGGCACAGTATTTAATGTTAGTTTACATTAAAATAGCATACTGGCGCCACCAGGTGGCGTTCGCCTGTTTTTGAGTTAAGGTGAGGGCCTCACGTGAGTAGAGAGAGAGAAAGTGACGAGAGTTTTCAGAGAGAACATGATTGTGAACCTGCAGTTGCCTGTCGTGTTAAAGGACAATAAAACCACTGTGAATCGTCAGATGCTGCCTCTTCTTTACACGTGCAACACTATGAACACAGATACACTGTAATCAATGAGTGACATTACAACCGTCGCCCACAAGGGGGCGCTCTAACTCTATAAATGGTGTTACGTGGAACTTTATAATGAAAAGGCAAACTATATGTGTAGCAGAAACGGGCTGTTCTAAACTATACACACACAGACACACATATGTACATTATCCACATATAGCAGGGCTTATTATGGAGTGCTCCTACAGTCATGCACGTGGCGCACCACGTGTTGTAGCTACAAGGAGGAAGCGGACATTAAAGTATATAAATGGAGCATAAATATAGATTGGCACATGGTACTCACTTTGCATAGACGCACACAGAACTTATACACACAGGATTATTGATGGTTGGCATGACGCACGCGCACAGGCTCCGCCCCTAACACTGTAAAGAACAGCTCTGAACATGGCTACGGGAGACCCTGGGGAACTACAATATTAACAGGTGCATCGTGGGAAATGTAGTGACAGACATTTAACAGTGATATTTGTCACAATTCAATATTATTGAGATTCTTACAATATTCGACAGTTTTTTGATTTGATTCTGTGATTGAATAATATGAAGGACATGAATCACAATCAAAGACTTTACAAACATGGCGGAAAATAAGACTCAACTCAAATGTCATTTATTATGGTCTGTTCTTGAAAACGTGAAAAATGAACAATCAGGACACAGGAACTAATTACAGACACAAAGACACAACAAACCAACATCATAGAGTCACAAGGAACAGAAAAGTCAAACATGAAAATGAAACACTGAACAGAATGGATTCTTTCCCCAAACCAGGAGTTAAGATTTCTCTTCTGCTTTTAATACTATTCAGCCACATATTTTATTTTCTAAATTATTGGCTGATTTTAATCTGAATCCAAACTTGGTGAAGTGGATTGATGACTTTTTAACACGCAGGCCGCAGAGAGTTCGAGTGAATAGAACAATGTCTGAGAAAAAAAGAGTCATCCATAGGATCTCCACAAGGGTGCGTCCTCTCACCCCTTCTGTACATACTCTACACAAATGACTGTCAGAGCAAGCATCCAAACAGACATTTGTTGAAGTTTGCAGATGACACAGTCCTGGTCAGTCTGCTGCAGGATGGAGAAGTGGAGCATGGACCAGTCATGGAGGACTTTGTCCAGTGGTGTGACAGGCACGTCCTCACTCTGAATGTGAAGAAGACTAAAGAAATGGTCCTTAACTTTGGGAAGGCTCCACAACTCTCACTGCCCCCAACTGTCATCCACAGCTGTGCAGTGGAGACAGTGGAGTCATACAAGTATCTGGGAACCATCATAGACAACCGTCTGAGGTTTGATGAGAACACTTCCCAGATCTGCAAAAAAGGGGCACAACGAATGTACTTTTTACGCAGACTAAAGTTTTTTGATGTTGACAAGTCCCTGATTATGCTTTTTTATAGGTCCTTTATCGAGTCTGTTCTGTCCTTCTGTTTAGTTTCCTTTTACGGAAACCTGTCTGTCCAAAACAGAAGTCGCATGGGAAAAATTGTGTCTGAGGCCAATCGTATAATTGGCCAACAACAAATATCTCTGACACAAATATATGAAAGACAGGTCCTGAACAAAGTTCAGTCTGTTTTGTCCATCTGCGACCACCCCCTGAGGTTGGAGTTCGAACTGCTCCCCTCTGGGAGAAGATATCGGCTTCCCAGGGCTAGAACAAACCGTTTCAAATGTTCATTTGTGGTCTCCGCAGTTAATCTGTTGAACAGACAATTTTAAAGATCTAGACATGCTTCCTCTTGATTATGTTGTGATGTTCCCTGATATGTGCCATACTCACTGAGATCTTTGTATTATTGTATTGTATTGCTATTTGTATTGCTCCACCACATGCAAACAATTTTCCCCTTGGGGACAATAAAGTTTTTGAGTTGAGTTGAAGACTGAAGTGAGATCCTGTAGAGTCTGACTCTGGGTTCACAGGATGGGTTCACAGGATGCAGCCTCAGCTCTGTCTCCTTCACTTTGGTCCAGATCCAGATGCTTCAGACCTGCTTCTCTACAGGTTTTAATGTGTTTAGTAAGAGATGAACTTCGACTAAAAGACTTTTCGCACTTTTCACAGACAAATGGTTTCTCTCCAGTGTGGATCCTCTGATGCACTTTGAGATGACCACTCTGAGAAAAACTCTGACCACAATCGTCGCAGCTGAAGGGTTTCTCTCCAGTGTGGATCCTCTGATGCACTTTGAGAGAACCACTCCGAGAAAAACTCTGACCACAATCGTCGCAGCTGAAGGGTTTCTCTCCAGTGTGGATCCTCTGATGCACTTTAAGATTACTACTCTGAGAAAAACTCTGACCACAATCGTCGCAGCTGAAGGGGTTCTCTCCAGTGTGGCTCCTCTGATGCACTTTGAGATAACCACTCCGAGAAAAACTCTGACCACAATCGTCGCAGCTGAAGGGTTTCTCTCCAGTGTGGATCCTCTGATGCACTTTGAGAGAACCACTCTGAGAAAAACTCTGACCACAATCGTCGCAGCTGAAGGGTTTCTCTCCAGTGTGGATCCTCTGATGCACTTTGAGATAACCACTCCGAGAAAAACTCTGACCACAATCGTCGCAGCTGAAGGGTTTCTCTCCAGTGTGGATCCTCTGATGCACTTTGAGATGACCACTCTGAGAAAAACTCTGACCACAATCGTCGCAGCTGAAGGGTTTCTCTCCAGTGTGGATTCTTTTGTGCTGGTTAAGACTTCCTCTTCGGGAAAAACATGTTCCACACTGGTCACACTCGTACGGCTTCTCTCCAGTGTGGCTCCGATGGTGAAGTGTGCGCTCTGCTGCAGTTTTAAAGGTTTTACTGCAGAAGTCACATGCAAATGGCTTTTCTCCAGTGTGGATTCTCTCATGTGCTTTGTAGTGTGAAGACTGAGTAAACGTCTTCCCACAGTCTCCACAGACGAATGGTTTATCTCCAGTGTGGATTCTGTAGTGCACAGTGAGGTCAGATAAACATGTAAAAGTCTTTTCACACTGGTCACATTGGTGAGGTCTCTCTCCTGTGTGGACATGCTGATGTCGTGAGAGCATCTGTTTGGTCCTAAATGTTTTTTCACACTGGTCACACTCAAATGGTTTCTCTCCTGTGTGGATCCTCTGATGACCTTTGAGATGACCCTCTTGTCTAAAACTCTGATCACAATCGTCGCAGCTGAAGGGTTTTTCTCCAGTGTGGATTCTGTTGTGGACCTTGAGATCTCTTTTTGTAGTAAAACATGTTCCACACAGATCACACTCGTATGGTTTTCCTCCAGTGTGAGTTCTGTGGTGTCTCTTTAGATCAGAAGCAGAGCTGCAGGTCTTTCCACACTGATCACAGGTGAACCCCATTCTGTAGATGGACTTTGTAGATCTGCAACAAACACAACAACGTCAGATAATTCTAATATGTTTGATGGTGGTAGAAGTGAGAAATGATATTGTTCTCTTTCAACATCAAACATCGGGTTCTGCAATTAAAGCTGGTTGCTCCCGACCCATGGGCTACACCCCCCACCCTGTATAGGAGCCACTTCTACAACCTCAGTCCTGGGTCTACAGCCTCAGTCCTGGGTCTGCAGCCTCAGTCCTGGGTCTGCAGCCTCAGTCCTGGGTCTGCAGCCTCAGTCCTGGGTCTACAGCCTCAGTCCTGGGTCTATACAGCCTCAGTCCTGGGTCTACAGCCTCAGTCCTGGGTCTACAGTCTCAGTCCTGGGTCTAGAGCCCCAGTCCTGGGTCTACAGTCTCAGTCCTGGGTCTACAGTCTCAGTCCTGGATCTATTGTGGGCTAACTCAGGACCATAACTTTACATGTGTCTATCTTCCCCTAGTCTCCTTCTTCATGAGACCCCAGTGAGTCTAAGTCTCGGTCTCTGTCTCGGTCTCGTACCGCTCTGTGTGAGCAGGGGCGTGCAGGGCAGGGCGGGGTTCTCGTAGGAGGGGTGGGCTCCCGGGGGGATGGCGGGGACTGCGAAGCTCTTCAGCGGGTGTGCGTGTGCGTGCACCGGGCGCAGAGGGGCCAGGCTGCCGCTATAGCTGCCCTCCTCCTCCGTGGTGCTGCCGTGGTAGCTCCCCTCCGGGTCCACCGTGATCTCCGAGGGACAGGAGAGCTGCGAGGAGAGCTGCGAGGAGAGCTGCGAGGAGAGCTGCGAGGAGAGCTGCGAGGAGAGCTGCGAGGAGAGCTGCGAGGAGAGCTGCGAGGAGAGCTGCGAGGAGAGCTGCGAGGAGAGCTGCGAGGAGGCCGGGGGAGAGGCGTCCGAGCACGGCGTGTTCCTCACCGACTCTGAGGGAGACAAGAGGGTCACGTTATAGATGCCACAACACTACTATGGAACCAGGTCTGCAAGAAGGAGGGGGGAAGGGAGACGAGAACCATGTGGCACTATAGATGCCACCACACTAAGGAAGGAAGGGAGACGAGAACCATGTGGCACCATAGATGCCACCACACTAAGGAAGGAAGGGAGACGAGAACCATGTGGCACTATAGATGCCACCACACTAAGGAAGGAAGGGAGACGAGAACCATGTGGCACTATAGATGCTGCTAACACGTACAGAGCAGTCGCATTCTCTTGCTGCTCCTCGCTTGCTGCTTTTTTATCTCCTTTAATCATTTTTGCTTACATTTTTATTCCACAAAACACGGATTACTCCTTTTTACAAACTTCAACACAAGACTGGTGGAATTTACCTAACTTACAGCATGTCGGGAGGACGGGAAAATAGAACAAAACTTTGCGACGGCTGTTTTTCACTCAAACAGGAGCTAAAACTTCTTCAAGACCGAATGTTTGTGCTTGAATCAGAATTGGGGCTGAACACAACAATAATGTTCATAGGTTTAAAACAGTCAAAATGACTGCTGAATGTTTGAAACAGTCATAATGACTGCTGAATGTTCATAGGTTTAAAACAGTCATAATGACTGCTGAATGTTAAAAACAGTCATAATGACTGCTGAATGTTAAAAACAGTCACAATGACTGCTGAATGTTTAAAACAGTCACAATGACTGCTGAATGTTTAAAACAGTCAATGACTGCTGAATGTTCATAGGTTTAAAACAGTCATAATGACTGCTGAATGTTAAAAACAGTCATAATGACTGCTGAATGTTAAAAACAGTCATAATGACTGCTGAATGTTTAAAACAGTCATAATGACTGCTGAATGTTTAAAACAGTCATAATGACTGCTGAATGTTTAAAACAGTCATAATGACTGCTGAATGTTTAAAACAGTCATAATGACTGCTGAATAATTAAAACAGTCATAATGACTGCTGAATAATTAAAACAGTCATAATGACTGCTGAATAATTAAAACAGTCATACTGACTGCTGAATAATTAAAACAGTCATACTGACTGCTGAATGTTTAAAACAGTCATAATGACTGCTGAATGTTTAAAACAGTCATAATGACTGCTGAATGTTTAAAACAGTCATAATGACTGCTGAATGTTTAAAACAGTCATAATGACTGCTGAATGTTTAAAACAGTCATAATGACTGCTGAATAATTAAAAGTCATAATGACTGCTGAGTAATTAAAACAGTCATAATGACTGCGGAATGTTTAAAACAGTCATAATGACTGCTGAATGTTTAAAACAGTCATAATGACTGCTGAATGTTTAAAACAGTCATAATGACTGCTGAATGTTTAAAACAGTCATAATGACTGCTGAATGTTCATAGGTTTAAAACAGTCATAATGACTGCTGAATATTCATAGGTTTAAAACATTCAATGACTGCTGAATGTTCATAGGTTTAAAACATTCAATGACTGCTGAATGTTCATAGGTTTAAAACAGTCAAAATGACTGCTGAATATTCATAGGTTTAAAACATTCAATGACTGCTGAATGTTCATAGGTTTAAAACAGTCAAAATGACTGCTGAATGTTAAAAACAGTCATAATGACTGCTGAATGTTAAAAACAGTCATAATGACTGCTGAATGTTCAAAACAGTCATAATGACTGCTGAATGTTCAAAACAGTCATAATGACTGCTGAATGTTTGAAACAGTCATAATGACTGCTGAATGTTTAAAACAGTCATAATGACTGCTGAATGTTTAAAACAGTCATAATGACTGCTGAATAATTAAAACAGTCATAATGACTGCTGAATGTTTAAAACAGTCATAATGACTGCTGAATGTTCATAGGTTTAAAACAGTCATAATGACTGCTGAATGTTTAAAACAGTCATAATGACTGCGGAATGTTTATAACAGTCATAATGACTGCGGAATGTTTAAAACAGTCATAATGACTGCTGAATGTTTGAAACAGTCATAATGACTGCTGAATGTTTAAAACAGTCATAATGACTGCTGAATGTTTAAAACAGTCATAATGACTGCTGAATAATTAAAACAGTCATAATGACTGCTGAATGTTTAAAACAGTCATAATGACTGCTGAATGTTCATAGGTTTAAAACAGTCATAATGACTGCTGAATGTTAAAAACAGTCATAATGACTGCGGAATGTTTATAACAGTCATAATGACTGCGGAATGTTTAAAACAGTCATAATGACTGCTGAATGTTTAAAACAGTCATAATGACTGCTGAATGTTCATAGGTTTAAAACAGTCATAATGACTGCTGAATGTTCAAAGGTTTAAAACAGTCATAATGACTGCTGAATGTTCAAAACAGTCATAATGACTGCTGAATGTTCAAAACAGTCATAATGACTGCTGAATGTTCAAAACAGTCATAATGACTGCTGAATGTTCAAAACAGTCATAATGACTGCTGAATGTTCAAAACAGTCATAATGACTGCTGAATGTTCAAAACAGTCATAATGACTGCTGAATGTTCAAAACAGTCATAATGACTGCTGAATGTTCAAAACAGTCATAATGACTGCTGAATGTTCAAAACAGTCATAATGACTGCTGAATGTTCATAACAGTCATAATGACTGCTGAATGTTCATAACAGTCATAATGACTGCTGAATGTTCATAACAGTCATAATGACTGCTGAATGTTCATAACAGTCATAATGACTGCTGAATGTTCATAACAGTCATAATGACTGCTGAATGTTCATAACAGTCATAATGACTGCTGAATGTTCATAACAGTCATAATGACTGCTGAATGTTCATAACAGTCATAATGACTGCTGAATGTTCATAGGTATAAAAAAGTCATAATGACTGCTGAATGTTCATAGGTTTAAAACAGTCATAATAACTGCTGAATGTTTAAAACAGTCATAATAACTGCTGAATGTTTAAAACAGTCATAATAACTGCTGAATGTTTAAAACAGTCATAATGACTGCTGAATAATTAAAACAGTCATAATGACTGCTGAATGTTTAAAACAGTCATAATGACTGCTGAATGTTTGAAACAGTCATAATGACTGCTGAATGTTTAAAATAGTCATAATGACTGCAGAATGTTTAAAACAGTCATAATGACTGCTGAATGTTTAAAACAGTCATAATGGCTGCTGAATATTCATAGGTTTAAAACAGTCATAATGGCTGCTGAATGTTCATAGGTTTAAAACAGTCATAATAACTGCTGAATAATTAAAAGTCAAAATGACTGCTGAATGTTTGAAACAGTCATAATGACTGCTGAATGTTTAAAACAGTCATAATGACTGCTGAATGTTTAAAACAGTCATAATGACTGCTGAATGTTTAAAACAGTCATAATGACTGCTGAATGTTTAAAACAGTCATAATGACTGCTGAATGTTTAAAACAGTCATAATGACTGCTGAATGTTCATAGGCATAAAAAAGTCATAATGACTGCTGAATGTTCATAGGTTTAAAACAGTCATAATAACTGCTGAATGTTTAAAACAGTCATAATGACTGCTGAATGTTTGAAACAGTCATAATGACTGCTGAATGTTTAAAACAGTCATAATGACTGCTGAATGTTTAAAACAGTCATAATGACTGCTGAATGTATAAAATAGTCATAATGACTGCAGAATGTTTAAAACAGTCATAATGACTGCTGAATATTCATAGGTTTAAAACAGTCATAATGGCTGCTGAATGTTTAAAACAGTCATAATGACTGCTGAATGTTCAAAACAGTCATAATGACTGCTGAATGTTCAAAACAGTCATAATGACTGCTGAATGTTTAAAACAGTCATAATGACTGCTGAATGTATAAAATAGTCATAATGACTGCAGAATGTTTAAAACAGTCATAATGGCTGCTGAATATTCATAGGTTTAAAACAGTCATAATGGCTGCTGAATGTTTAAAACAGTCATAATGACTGCTGAATGTTCAAAACAGTCATAATGACTGCTGAATGTTCAAAACAGTCATAATGACTGCTGAATGTTCAAAACAGTCATAATGACTGCTGAATGTTCAAAACAGTCATAATGACTGCTGAATGTTCATAGGTATAAAAAAGTCATAATGACTGCTGAATAATTAAAACAGTCATAATGACTGCTGAATGTTCAAAGGTTTAAAACAGTCATAATGACTGCTGAATGTTCAAAACAGTCATAATGACTGCTGAATGTTTAAAACAGTCATAATGACTGCTGAATGTTTAAAACAGTCATAATGACTGCTGAATGTATAAAATAGTCATAATGACTGCAGAATGTTTAAAACAGTCATAATGACTGCTGAATATTCATAGGTTTAAAACAGTCATAATGGCTGCTGAATGTTTAAAACAGTCATAATGACTGCTGAATGTTCAAAACAGTCATAATGACTGCTGAATGTTCAAAACAGTCATAATGACTGCTGAATGTTCAAAACAGTCATAATGACTGCAGAATGTTTAAAACAGTCATAATGACTGCTGAATATTCATAGGTTTAAAACAGTCATAATGGCTGCTGAATGTTTAAAACAGTCATAATGACTGCTGAATGTTCAAAACAGTCATAATGACTGCTGAATGTTCAAAACAGTCATAATGACTGCTGAATGTTCAAAACAGTCATAATGACTGCTGAATGTTCAAAACAGTCATAATGACTGCTGAATGTTCAAAACAGTCATAATGACTGCTGAATATATTAAAACAGTCATAATGACTGCTGAATGTTCATAGGTTTAAAACAGTCATAATAACTGCTGAATGTTTAAAACAGTCATAATGACTGCTGAATGTTTGAAACAGTCATAATGACTGCTGAATGTTTAAAACAGTCATAATCAATCAATCAATCAATCAACGTTTATTTATAGAGCGCCTTTCCTACACAAGGCAACGCAAAGCGCCTCACAACCCATATAACATCATGCATAAATCATCAAACATTAGAATTTAAGTAAACATAAAAAGACAGATTAAGAGCACAAGATATATAAAATCACACAAGTAGTTAAAAACCGTAAAAAATTAAAATCACACAAGGGATTACAATCATAAATAATCATAAATAATCATAGCGCAT